CCCCCCCCAAAACTTTTTCTTCTCTCCACCTTACACACCTCCGTCCACCTACCTACACCCAAAACCCTAACCACACCCCCAAAGAAACAATTGTCAGAATCCGCACAGAAATCTACCATGGACGACATATAAGGCTACTCCACCAAGTGTTGGCATCGACCCGATGTCATTGAAGAAAGAACCTAGGACGGGATCACAGTCGACCATAGCAATGAAATAAGTGAAAGAGAATAAGAAGAACACCTAAATCTCTTCCATAAGAATGATTCCGGTAGAGAAGATGCTAGGCCGCAATGCTTTGGGTATAGTATCAGCGGAGATAAAGAGATGAGACACATGTTAGAGAATACAGAGGTAAAGCACCTGTTAAAGGAGACAAAGATGAGATGTCTGTTGAAGGATACCGAGATGGGATGCTTGTTAGAAGATAGATGGATGACGTGCCTATTGAAGGATACAATTAAGAAATAAAGGTGGACCTATCAGACTTCAGGGTGGAGAATGAATCTTTTCCTCAAGTGGATGCAGACTGTTGGGCGGATCTTTGAATACAAGGAGGTGCCCAATGATAGAAAATTGAAGCTTGAGACTATCAAGATGAAGAAGAATACTTCTTTGTGGTGGGAGAATCTGAAAAGGGAGAGACGGAGAGAAGAACGGGATAGAATCATTTCTAGGGAGAAGACGAAATGGGAGATGCAGCGATGGTACCTACCCCCAAACTACCACCAAGATATTTTCTTGAATCTTCGCTATCTGCAATAGAAAAAGTTATTAGTGGAATACAAGACAGAAGTTATGCAACTTAAGTTAAATTGTGAGCTGAATGAGATAGAAGAGCGCACCATAGTCATGTATTTGAAAGGCCTAAAGCCCTCCGTCAGTAATGTGGTCTAGTTGCAACCCTATTGGCACTGAGGGGCGTAAAAACTTTATCACTAAAAGTGGAGAGACAACAGAAGCAGAGCAGGTAATCGTTGCAGTCAAACAACAACTCACAGTTGGAGACCTCAGAAGGAGCACGCCTTAGGGAGTGGAGCATATTGATTAGGAATAGCATAGAGCCACTCAAAGTGAAAGTAAGTCTGAGAAGAGTAGCACACCCACTACTGCCCTAGCCCGAAAATGCTTCAGATGCCACGAGTTTGAACGTGTCGCTTCTAGTTGCCCGACGAGCCTAATTGTGTTCTTCACTGAGCCAGGTCCAGTGGAGGAAGTTAGTGACGAAGAGTGACAAAGAGGCAGCCGAAGAACCGAGTGAGCAGTGTCATCTTCCACCGAATAAGGGCGAGACACTCATGGTTCATAGGGTCCTACGGGCTGAGGATGCGATGGATCAGCAGTTGAATCGCCACAACATATTTTACACCTATTGCACTGTAAAAGAAAGGGTATATAGTCTCATCATTGATGGAGGAAGCAATAAGAATGCAGCGTCCACACAACTGGTGGACAAATTGAGCCTCATGACTGAGGCATTCCAAGTCGTATTCTCTGAAGTGGTTGAAAAAAGAGAACAGTGTTAGCATTGATAGGCTTGTGGAGTTTTCGATTGGAAATCAATTGCAGAATCAGGTTTGGTGTGACATGATGCCCATGAATGTTTGCCAACTTTTGTTGGGAAGATCATGACAGTTTGATCGTTGAACTCAGCATGATGAATTCAGAAACACCTATTCCTTCATCAAATATAGTAAGTGCATAGTCTTATCTTCTACAGATTCCAAGATTATAGGTTCCCTTGTCAACAAAGAAGTGTCAATCATATCGGTTTTAGTAATGATATAAAATAGTGGGACAGAGGCGCTGACTCCAGACACGAAATAGTCACCACAGAGAGAATTTCAAGACATCATGACTGATGGTGCCATGGCTGCCACTGTTAGAGGGAGTTCAGCCTATTCTCAATTCAGATCAAGTTGAGCTAACCTAGAGTTATTTTGGGATGATTCAACAGTACATATGTGACATGCAAACTCCATTAGTTCAATAATGTGCCTTGAAGGATTAAACTGATATGGATGGTTATTGTATATGGAAAAAACTCCTTAGGTGCTTTTTGAGACAGTGCGGTCGACAATAGGATCCAGACTTTTCTTGGGTCACAGTCGAAGATCCTTTAGCCTCGCGAGAATACAGCAGCCTCATCACATTTAACGTGCTGACAGAAGCTTCTACATATGAGATTGAAAATCCCCCAATCTCGAAAGACTGATGTGAGGGGCCTTTACCACAAACGTGACAATGGCAAGATATTGCCCCGGACTGGTTCAATCCAAGCAAAGGAGGGACTGATCGGTCCTTCTAAGCATTGATTCCCCTCCTATTTGGAGCGAGTTTCACTCCTCTTTACCTTAGGTCTATATATCTCACTCCTCTTTACCTTAGGTCTATATATATGTTATTTCTTCATGTTTAGGTCAATTTTTTATGAGTTATCTATCGAGACAGTCATTGGCGTCTCCAATTCTTCCCTTCTAGATTAGTATCCAACGGCAAAAAGTGTTTGGTTGTAGCTCGTTTCAAGGTGGTGATTTTCCTCAACTTTCCCATCCTCCGCAATCTTTCCTCTGTCGCCGATATTAGGGCTGTCAAAACGGCTCGTTGTTCGCGAACAGCTCATGGTCTGCTCGTTAAGAAGTTCGTGTTCAGCTCGTTCGCTAAGTTAACGAGTCGAACACGAATCCGCAATCTTCCCTCTGTGGCTGATGTTTGGGCTATCAAAACGGCTCGCTGTTCGCGAACAGCTCGTGGTCGGCTCGTTAAGAAGCTCATGTTCAGCTTGTTCGTTAAGTTAACGAGCCAAACACGAACAAATATTTCTTCGTTCGTTTTCGGCTCATTTTGGCTCGAAATACTACTTATCAATTTATATTTATTTATTTATTTATTTATGAGTAGTATTTTTAAAAATATTAATTGACTACAAGACTACAAAGATTTATAATCAATTAAAAGCATTAATTAAAAAAATAGAATAAAAATTATTAAATTAGATTCAAATGATGTTTTAATATAAATAATAATTTTTAAATGTTTCCCCAACCTCCTTAACATCTTATGGCTACGTGATTAGGGTTGTCAAAATGATTTTTTGTTCGTGAACAGCTCGTGTTCAGCTCGTTAAGCAAACAAGTCGAACATGAACACACTTTTTGAGCTCGGAATATAAACGAGTCGAACACGAGTTGAGCCTAACACGAGTTGAGCCTAGGCTTGCTCTCAACTCATGTTCGGCTCGTTTACACCTTTAGTCAATGTCACTATAACTACTGCAGTCACGCCAAGAATTGCGCTTATGCTGTCTCTTGTAACCCTCATCCCTCTAACCTGCACTTGCAGTCACCATCCCCATCCAAATCTCTGTCACAACTCCAATCCTGCCACCTGTGGCCACCTACTCCAGCCATACCTTTGACCCTCCAATTTCCCGGCCGCAATCCATACCACCTGCATATTGTCATTCTCTAGTCATCCCGACTACATGTTACCTTCCTTCCCCTACAGCCCACCTCCAATGCCAATCCTCCTGCCACTAGCCACTTCCATACTTCCTTCCCTATCAAGCCCCTAACCACTGCACCACCAACGTCAACTCCACCCTATTTTGATTTTATGTGTCGTGAATTTTATTGTTTCCTAATTTTGTGTGTTTTGGTTATAATTCCTATTTGATTTCAATAAAAAAAATTGCATATCCTGTTGTTTGGTTAACAGTGATATCAATGTATGAAAAAGTGTATTTCACTTTTAAAAAGTGATAATAATGTCATTATTCATGTGATATTAAATATTTGAGTGATATGTGTGTAAATATGAAAGTTCAGGTGTGATATATGTAAATACATGAGAATCGTGTGGTATGTATGTAAGTGCCCCTAAGAAAAAAAACAATCAAAATAGTTGTAGCAGAGGGGCATCTATTCTTCTTGATGGTTATGAGAACAACATAAGAGAAAGGGTAGAAAACCAAGGGTACACAGCCAAGACAGCAAGTGGAGAGAACAGAGAAGGGTACACAATTCAAGTAAGGGCAGAAAAAGAAGGGAAACACAACCCAAAAAGAGAGTGTAGAGAGTACTTAGTTGAATGAGCAAGAGAAATGAGTTCTTGTTTACCAAAATATTTATATTCAATCTTCTATAATCATGATTATAAAAGAATTTTAAACTCCTTTCATAGACTAAAGGCTCTTAAATCATAACCAATTCAAAAGAAAAAGATTAATGTGTTCTTATTATATAAAATAAAGACGAAACACTAAATAAACATGCATCAAACTAGCATTACTTCAATAAAGATAAACATAACACATGGACATATGTGCTGCTGAATTCACTATCGAACAATATTCATCCTGCACATTATATGGTAAAAGAATGAAGTAATTTAGGCATTTAAGTGCAAGTATAAGTAGTTCACAAACAAACATTATAATTTTTCGCAAAAAAAATATTCAACAAGATATTTTATTTGCACATTATTTTATCAAGTTACCACTACTGGAATGTGACACGAATAGCTATGAAAACATATTAGATTAGCTGATCAAGTGCTAACATTTGTTGTGATAGGAATATCTCAACTTTATTGTGCCTTAGAATCAATTAAAAACTAAACCACACCACGGAATAACAGGATTGTATCAATTTGAGAAAATTGGGACAAAAAAATGAACAGAAAACACAATCAAAGCAACCAGAAAAGCACACGAAAATTTTACGTGGAAAAACTAAAGAACAGGAAAAAAACCACCAAGCCACACCACTAAGAAATTCACTTTGAAAATCAAATAGTCTTTACAGAGATCTCACACTAGTTTCCTCTCTACACAAAAAAAAAAGCTTATAGGAGACACTCCACGATCTTCCTTCGCCGATCCGACGCGAAAAACAAACGCTAAGATTACAAAAATTATCCACTCCAACTCTTCTCTCCTTTACCAGGAACTAATTGAAGAACACCAAAGGAAGACCTACACCCAGCACACACATTACCCCGCTCAAAATTTTGGTTTTAAAACCAAAAAGACGTTGTAACTACACCGGGTGCAAAAGCGCTTTTTGCGCCCGAGCCTGAAACAAAAGCGCTTTTTGCAACCGGGTCTGACACAAAATGCGCCCGTCTCTTGGGAAGAAAAAAGGTCGCACCCAAGTATTTGGACGCTTGAGCACCCAAGGCCGGCGCAAAAGCGTCGGTTTCTCTGTTTGCGCTCGGGCGCTTAGGCGCTCAAAGGGGCGCAAAAGCAAACCCCACCCCCCACCGCTCCGCCTTAGTACTAACTAGTAAAAAATATGTCTGATGCGCCATCTTAATGATGTTTTGTTTACATTCACATACTAAGCATCTGTGAACAGTTAAAACAATTGATTGAAGATTGATTGTAATTAATTTAGGGGCACTTTTATACATATCACACATTAAGAATTGTGTGCTATGTATGCAAATTTCCCATTAATATAATATGAATGAGTCAGTCACACTGAACTTAACAGTTCGTTTCCAAACGGTACAATTCCATGTAAATTAATATGGACAAGAGATACCTGCTGAAAATTTTCATACTCATGAAATGCTATATTGTCAGTCGATACAAAGTTCAGTAGGCTAGTCTGAGGTGTCATCAAAGGGGACTGGGGGCTTATGCTTTCGGACGAAGATGCTAAGATCCCCAGATCACGTCTACCAGTACTAGATGAAGATGGATTGGGAAGACACTGCCCAGCGTTTGTAGAGGACTGCTCATTGTTTCTAGTAGAGATTGGCCCATTAAACTCTTCACTTTTGCAGGAATCTCCAACTCCTGAAACTTCCTCGGGGCCTTTTAGCTTGCATTGATCGAGAATTTTCTCAATAATTTCAGCAAGTTTCAGAAGCCGTTCATCAACTGATAATCCCTTGGAGTCACATCTATCAGCAATGGTGCATACTTTAAAGTGCCCTTCAGCATGCATGGTTGGTATCTCAAAATCACAAATGCGGCATATTATCATTCTTTTGCCATCAAAAACAGTCTCGGACCTCGTATCCTGAATTATTATATCAGCTGAGCTTTTAGTTGGCATCTCAGAGGATTTGCAAACTTCTATTTTCTCATCAATGTCAAGCTTTGTTCTTTCCGGAAGCTCTAAAGAAGGCAACTTCTTCAACTGGAAGTCATCCACCTCCGCTTCTTCTTTCTTCTGATTCTTCTCAGCGGGAGATGGAAGCTTCTTCCAAGAAGAAATTCTATCCCTGCTCGCTGGGGACTCAGCCCCTCCAGTCGAATATTGATTCAAATGAGACAGACTGACTCTTTTCTCCTGTATTTTTGCCCTCATGATCTTCTCCTTGATGTCCTTGGCAGTGATCTGGTTCTTAAGAGCCTGGCCAGAATCAGACTGGTCCGGATAAAATCCAAGATCACTGAACTGGTGGAGGCCAAGAACATGCTCCTCCTCGCCATATGCACCCTCCTTCTGAAATTGTAGCAGTCGAGTGCACCTCGTGAGAATAAAGAGTATCCTCGTGTGTACTTGCTTGAGAGTTCCCATGGGCAACTCATGCCGACGATCATCGAGGTTCTGGACAATCCCCTCACATTTGACCCAGAACTCGTCCGGCGACATTTCAGCGCATTTCTGGGAGATTACCAGGAGATCCTCTAATGGCTCCCTCCATTCCGAGTGTTCCTCTGTAGCTTTATCAAGAATTCCAACCAAATCGCCAGCGTAGACACCCAACTCTGCATTCACCTCCTCTTTAAGCAGTTTAAACTTCGACTTGATCACCTTCATTATATCCTGCCATAAAAAATAACAGGAGCGGGATTAGGCAATAAACTTTCAGAAATTCGAAACAAGAAACAGATTTATCTTCTCCCGCATTTTACTTCAGGCCTCGTGAGACCGCGGAGCTTCCGAATAGGAAGAGGACTGGCGACCTTCGTATTCAATTCGTGCGAAAAGCTCTTCACGTCCGTCGAATATCTCTTCCGGCGGCCACTCGTAGCACGTATAATAGCGCGGAAGCGCGGCGATTGCATCTCCTTCGCAGCATCGAAGGCGACGCGACGCACCTCCTGCAACAAAAATCAACATCGAAAACAATGACGGGAAGTGAAGATTAGCTAATTTAAAAACTGTGATCGATCTTCATTACCTCCATTTTTTGAGAAAACAAGATCGAAGCTCTGCTTTGTTCTCCCGTAGAATTGAATTGGCCCCAGATTGTTGTAAGAAGGAGAAACTAATCAAACGAAAATCAGAACAGAAATGAACGGAATATCAGATTTATTTCTCCGACGACTTGTGATTGAAGTTCCGGCAGCCGGAAGCGACAGCCGATGGCATTTGGCGGAGATTTACGCCTCTGTTTCCAGTTCTTTATACGTTCTCGTAAACGTGCAGACCATAAAACAGGAAATTCACAAATAAATGTTTTTTTTAGGGCATTTACATATAGAAAAAATATGACATCAGTACTAGCACGTAGAGTAATGTGAGTCAATAAAATTACGTCACGACATCCCATACGATTGGGAGAAAAAAAAACGGCACAGTAAAACGGGAAATATTCCCCGTGCTATTTATGTGTTATTGTGTGTTATTCATGTGTTATTGTGTCCTGAAAATCTTTCTGTGTTATAATAACACAATAACACATAAATAACACATTAATAACACACAATAATACATGAATAATACGGGGGAGAATATTCAAAATACATTGTCACACAATTTTTATATATTTGCATATACAATATCTAAATTTCATATATATATGTGTGTGTGTAATTACATCAAAAATATAACTATTCCTTGTATTTTAAGAGTGAAATACATTTTTTCACATATGATATTATGACATAAAAATGTGATAAAAATAAAGATAAATAAAAAAATTTAGGTGTTGCATATGTATTTTGTTGTATGTTTGTTATTTTTTTTAGTGATTTATAATACAAATATAGGAGCATATTTTTCATGTTGCGTACTCGATCTGTTAGTTGACATCCACGGCATAAAACCGCTTAGGTCGGGAATTCGAATCCCCTACGACATAGTTGACCTTAACGAGGTGGTACTCAAATTTTTATACACATTAAGGGTGGTTGGAGGCTCTTATAAGACTTTTACCATTACTTGTTTAAAAAAAATATATGAGCATTATATTCCATATTCCAAATCTTTACATTTTTTTTAAAAAGTCTTATTGTTTTTAAATAAAAATGATCATTTTGCGTGGACATTAAAATATGTGGGTTGATTTAGTTTGTAGAAAATATTAAAATCATTTTCAAAATTATAAATTCAAACATATTCAAGATTCTACAAAAAAAAATAATTTTTAAAATAGTGTTGATTAGATTATTTTTATCAAATTTATTTCAAGCCCCTTTTGGAAAATTTAACTTCTTATGCTTAGTAAGCTCTTATATAGATAAATATGACTTCTTTTATTATTTGGGCAAGCATGTAAAATATTTTTATATTAGAAAAAAACAAGGGATAATGCATCATATTCTCCCATATGTCCATACAACAATACAACTAGAATTTCATCTTCGAAGCATCTTCTCAAGTTATCCCACACCTCCATGAATCAAATAGTCCTCTGTGAAAAATGTTAGTGTTTTTTTTCTTTTTTTATATAGATAAAGCTACATTCACCCTCACTAATTATGCTAATAGTCCTCCTAAGTTACAATAAAAAAGAGAGTTTCAAAGGTGGAAGTAGCTTTAAAGTATGAAAGCAAATGTCAATTATGTTCACAAGTTTTTAAAGATAAAACAAGAACTATCTAAATATAATTTAAACACATAATATATTTTGTTTAAACTTAAAATCATTGGTTCAAATTATAATCGGAGACAAATTATGTGTTGGAATCAATTTTCTTTCGAGAAAATGTACATGTTTCCACTATTTTTTTGTAATACTATTAACCATTTGTCAAAGATTATAGTATACATCTATTTCTATTCTATTTATTACACAAATAGAATAATCAACAAAAATAAGTTATATGCTAATTTTCATGCACTTCAATTAAGAATGAGCTGCATGATTATGGTAAGCTAGGCTACCATATGTTATAAAAGAAAGAAAATGGTCAAAGATAAATTATAATTTCTCATAATTCTAAAGTAATCTTTGGATATATATAATCGAAGAATTTTCATGCTTTAACATTGGTAGTGCATTTTACACATGATTCTTCTCTTATAGTTCAAACTTCTTAGTTATAAACCTATGGTTCGACCATTAGCTTCAAAACAAATGGTCAAATAAAAGTTCAAACAAGCTCTAAACAAGCTTAAATTTTTATTTTAAGCTAGTTCAAACGTATATATAGATCTCATTTGAAAATTCTTAGCTTTTAAAACAAATATTCAATTTAGTTTGAATTTCAATTTTGGAATTTAGGTTTGACTATAGTGTTAAAAATAGAGTTTGAGCCTCTATTTGAACACTTTCTATAGAAAGTGAATTGAAAATGGGTTTGAATAAGATTGAGGTTGAATGTTTGATTAATTCATTTGATTTGCTTTCTCATTTTGTAAATTTATAGCTTCATTATTTTTTTGGAGAGACGTTACTTTGCCAGAATGTCAAATAGAGTTGAAAGATGGTAAGAATAAATTAACAATTTAAAAGTTGGGATTTGTTGCAAGGGATTACAAAATCCTCCCTTAAGCCCTTCTTTAATACTCTAAACCTCTAGTTCTATAAGGCTTAACTCATCAATTTCACTTAGTAAGGCTGATACTGAGGAAAAAGATAGGTGTTCTTATGTATTCAGCAGTAAAGATAAGATCATGTAATTTAAATTTTTTTAATGTATTTTTATCGTTACGTTAGAATTAGTAAATCTACTTTTAATGATAGAATTAAGGTGATGATAATAGATAAAAACCTATTGATAACCTTCTTAAAGGTAACAATAACTTCAAGAAGGTAGAACTATGAATGTACTCGTGGAATGTGCTATGAGGGAACTTGCGTGGAAGTCAGGGCTTTATTTTGTTGCTATTAGATTAATGTTCAATCATAAAAAGAATGGTATTATTTTTTCTAAGATGTTAGCCATCGTTGAAAACAAAGGGCTATCTTATTATTTCATTCATGAGCCATGAGAAGGATATGTTGATAGAGAACATTGAAATGGCCAGATAGAGATATGCTCCATAATGTGACAAATGTCATGAAGGATATAAAGAAAATTTAAAAAGAAAGCCCCACACGCCATCCACAATTCTGATAAAAGAAAAAACTAATGTATATTTGTGACTTTTGATAAAAAAAAATTATTAATTTTATAAAAAATAAATGTGATCACTTATGATAATTACACTATAAAACTTATAAATTGATTTGTGATGACTACGTTTTTTATTTTTTTCACAATGATTATATCATGCTTGCATAGCCCAAAAGAAAAAATAAATATTTATTTGTGACCTTTGATAAAAAAAAGAGCTATAAATCTTATGAAAAATAAATGGATCACTTATGATACTATTACTAACTGAAGCTTTTAAATGAAAATAGTCTTGATGTAAATATTAAGTAATTTTTGCATATAGAAATTGTTAAAAATAAATGGAAAAACTTTAGCTCCTCCAATATTAACTGAGAAAAGTTATGAAAGATTTTTAATGCAATTTTAAATATCATTGATTCTCTAATGTTGTCTTTACATTATTTTCCTAAATTTTGCATAAATCATAGTTGAACAAAGATGAGTATTTTATAAAATCTACCATTTTTAAAAATTAATTTGATTAGATATAATCTTGATTTCATACACATAAAAAAATATTATAATATTTTCAATATTGTGATGAATGATAAGAGAAAATTAAAGATAACATGAATGTCAGATTGGACTTGAATGAGCAGTACATAAGAAAATGAGTTATATATAGTATCAAGAGACACCTAATGTTAAACTTATAACATCTAAAATCGAATACTATATTAATTTAGATCAACGAAAAATAATTCATAGTGGATATAATTTCTGATATTTTTAGTAGGTGTACATCTACTAGTCGTTGTTTTGAATTGAGAATGGGAAACTGTTCAGAATGAAAAGTCATGATTGTCATATTTGCATGTAATATTTATTGCCAACTATATTTATCTCTTTATCCAATTAAATAATTAATCATTTAACTAAAACCAATATATTTTTCTAAGATTTATGTGGAACCCATTTGAAAGTTGATGTCTTAAGGCAACTTAAAAGTGAATATTTTATTAATATTATATAAACTTGAGAGAATATTTCAACCTGTATTTTTTAACTTAGTGAAGCAACTTCTCATCCATGTATCATAGTAATCAGGAGATGTATTCATTTGAGAGAAAGTAACTTATAATGTTTTTTAATTTGCATGTTGTTATTATTGTGCACTAAATTACTAATGCTATAGTAAGGTTTACAGGTTCCATATACAACGTAAATTTATTATAGGAGACTACTAATTTTTGTTTCTACTATTTTAAGCAGTGATCCGTCGAAAAAGTTATATGAGTTGTGTTTTTGCCAACTGTTATTTTTTAGGAATCAGGTGAAGAATTACGGAGATGCATTTCGTATTAATTGAATGACTAGGAGTTTAGATTAGCATCTAATTATGTTATTTTTAATTAATTGTGATGAAGTTAAACATTTTTGAGTAAGATGGATGATATAATATTAGATGATCAACTTTGAATGTTAAAAATAATAGTCATTTGATTTTAAAATTTTTAATTTTGAATCTAATTATTTGTGAGCTGATTAATTAAATTTAGGTGACGAGACTACTATATGAAAGAATGTTGAAGAAAAATTCTCAACATGTTTAAATTGCCCATATTTTATCTTAACCATGGATATAACTTTTAAGGTGCATAGATTTGTTGATATATTTAATGGGTTCATGATCGGAACAATGGAGTCTCCAACCAGGACTTACTAAATCTTATTTGGAGACAAGTGCATTGTGAATATGAATTTTTGTTGTGAAAACTATAAGTTTCACACATGTTCTTCGTCTAAAAGAAGAAAAAGATAGAATTCTAGTCTTTGTGTTAAACAAAACACAAATTCAGATAATGAAATAGATTATTATGAAATTCTTCAAGAAATAGTGTAGTTGCAATATCATGGATCTATTAGGAGAAGTGTGGTTTTGTTCATTTGAGATTAGTCTGATCTTATTCTTAATCATGGAATAAGAACATGTATATTTATTCTAGCATTTCAAGCCAGTCAAGTATTTTATCTTAGATATCCTTATAGAGCAAAGGAGAATATATATTGGGTATTAATCATTAAGACTAAACATAGAACCACAATTGAGGCTCAAAGTATTATTGAACATGCTCAGTGACAAAAAAAAAATATCACATTATAACAATCCAACTTATTCTTTTAAGCCAGTGATAACCTTAGAAGATACAAATTATACATATGATAACATTATTTATATCAGGGATAAGTCTTGTAATGATATAGGTAGAAATATTTTAAATTCACCTTCTAGTTACTCATCTGATAAATCAACATAATATGTGTACATAGTTATCAATATCTCTTTTTTACTTTTTGTACTTATTGATTTTACTTATTATATTTGATGCTTTTATGTCTTGTATTTTTTGCTTTTACTTCTTATACGATCAACCCATCCCATCCTTATTGCTCCCTTAAGCTTGTAGCATTCCTGCTATATCTCTCCACTCTGGTTGAGTTTAATGTGTCAGACACCACACGACACACATACACATTGAGCCAAATAGAAATATAAAAGTATTCCATAACATAACACTTGCACTTAATTAATGTAATATTTATATATACAGCTACCAATAGTTTTAGTTGCAGGTTTACTCCGTCCAGGCATCTCATTCATAAGATTATGAACATGTATGATGCTTCTTACTTATCCCAAAAGTTTATCTTGATTGAAGTCTGAGACAAACACAAGTCAGGACAGAGGCCCCTCTAGAGAGTTTGGGCCTCCCCATGATTGTATATATATACAGCCTAAAACATTGATATTTACGAATGAACCACCTAGGACTTTTTTGAACTACCAAACCGATTTATTTATGTGTGTGGCGATCAAACTTTTGAGAATTTGATAAATATGAAAATATGGGTTGGGCTTTTACAGTGAATTTTGATATTTGAATGAGAATTTGAAAAAGAGTGTGGTAGCAGGTGGTCTCTATGTAATTGCTCTTTTTTATTATGTTGTTTATATGTGTTTGACATTGCATGATTCAGAGATCTTGTGTATACAATTGTGTTGTACATTAATGTGTTGTGATCGCAGGCGTAGAAATAATGTTTTGTGATATTCTCCACATATTTTTTTTTTTCTTTCAACTATATAATAAAATCTTAAGATTCATTGAGAAGACATAAAATTTCATGAACAAAGTTTACCAAATCATCACAACATATTATATAAAATTTATTATGATCATTAGATCAATAGTGAGATACACATATTAGCCACATTGGCTCATGAGATCAACAAAAAATAAGAAATTAAGAATCATATAATCATATGAATTACATCAATCTAATGCCAACTCCAAGAAAACATTTCATCTATGAAGCTGACCTTAAAGCTGTCACAACAACATTTCATTCAACAATTCTTGATCATGCAAGCATGAAATCACATGTCAGAATAGAATTTAATTTCCTACTATGCTATGTAATAGGTAAACTACAAAGACAAAATCCCTCCTCAAATTTGATCATCAAGACCATCTCTCTCTTAAGTTCCATTAGAAGAACCTCATGACTCGTGAGCCATGCAAGCAAAGTTTTGTCATGGACGTACAGATGTAGCTAGATCCAACAACATCAAAACTAAGTGATCCCTCAACCATGGGATCCATGTCTAATCTACCCCCTTAAGAAAATCATGCTTCTCTAGCAAATAAACAAATAAACAATATGACACTAATCAAATGTGTTCAGCTCTCCTAACATCCATATAGATAGGCCATATCTCTACCCACAATATTTAAGAGTACCTCACTTCCCAAGCCATGCCATGTCATAATAGCATGTGAATCAATACTAGAGAGAGAGAGAGAGAAAGAGCTCAAGGGTCAACCAACGACTTAAGCTGGTCTGGTAAGGTGGTTGCATGAAGAGTCAAGATGGAAGAACTCCACAACCACACTAAACCTTACACCTAACCCACTTATCTTGTGCACTTAATTATGCATTAATTAATTCCCAAAGTTAGTTGTGTTCCTTATAAAATAATTATAGTGGATTTAGACTTATATGCTTGCCATATATATCACACAATATTACATTTTTAACATCCTACTTCTTCTACATAATCTTAATTAATTATGCACCCGTTAAACTTAATATTATAGATATAATTTATTACATATTATATCTTATTATTTGAAATACAATCTGATAAGAAATACTTAGATTAGAATATCTTGAAAGATAAGGAGAGTGAGCATCTAATATACATATATATACATATATATACATACATATATATATGTATGTATATATATGTATATATATGTATATTAGATGCTCACTCTCCTTATCTTTCAAGATATTCTAATCTAAGTATTTCTTATCAGATTGTATTTCAAATAATAAGATATAATATGTAATAAATTATATCTATAATATTAAGTTTAATATGTTTTAATGAATGTATTTTGATGTGATTGTGACAAATACTAAAATACAAGACCAATAAATATCATTTTTTAGTTATTAGAAATATATAAATATATATAAATCATGCGGTCCTATCTGCGAGGTCAATTACATCAATAGCACTCGAACAATGCTACTTACAAATCTAGCATGTTCTTTCATCTATTTTTCAATTTCTCACTCAAATATCAAGATTCATGATAAAATTGTGACCGTTGTTTTTTTTTTTTCATTTTTATCACATTTTCATTGGTTTGACAGTGTGGCTAGGGCTATGAATGTAGCTCGAAGATGGTTAATCGCACGAATATTTATTTGAATTTTGGTTATGATCAAGATCGGATCAAGATAAACAAGCGGGCCTACGAACCATAATTTCGGATCGAATTTTTTTCAAGCCAAGCTGGGATCTTTAACAACCTTAGTGATGTCAAGTTTGTGAATTTAGCTAATTTAGCTCAAAGATTGTTAATCACTTGAAATTTGATTCGAATTTCAGCTCGAATAGAGATCGGATCGAAATAATTGAGCCGAGCTACGAACCAAAATTTTAATTGAGATCTTTCGAGCCGATTTAGAGCTGACCCAACTCGACTCAAAATCGAATCATTAACAGTCTTAACCTTGATACATTTAAATACATCGATCGATTTAGTAGCTCAAAAATATCACCCCAGTAGTATATTTTGTAAATACCAAATGCTTGGGGTGCTACGTATTAAGATTTTGGTGAGAAGAAGGATAATTTCAGAGGATGAAGATAGCTTCCAAACATAGTAAAGCTTTTTCATTATAGATCTCTAAAAAGGTCCATGAACAAGTAAGAAGTTGGTGATTGTTGTACACCAAACTGAGACAACTAAAGCTCCTGAAAATAACAACCATAACAATCTCACTACCTCACCACATATATTCATGCATGTCATCTTCTTCACGTAACTTATATATACTTTTTTTCTTTTTTTCTTCTGAAAAATATTTATTTTTTTAAGAGACACTTAGAATTGGTTGACATTTCCCTGTATTTAATCTACTGGCCACTGCTGAGTTCTTCCTTATAAATTGAAGCTTCTTCTTTGAAAACAGAGAGTTGTTCTGAAACCAGAGGGAGTTTCGAAGCTCTTTTTGAAGAAAAATGGCTGATTTTCTCTCTCTAAAGCTTGTTCTCATCATTTCTCTTCTCTCATCAGCAAACTACTGCTGTAAAGGTCTGTTGATTTTGAAACTGATACAACTTATTTTACAAAAATTATGAGTTTATTCTCTTACTTCATGCATGAGAGAATTTAGTAGATAAAATATTACATTCAGAGAACTGCATCAGTACTCTAATCACTGTCTCTCACGTGCACAGTCCAGACCCTTTTTGTAAAAAAATTAAATAAGTTAATACACGATGGGTCTGAACTGTACACGTGGCAGACGATAATTGGAGTCCTGATGCAAAAAAAAAATACATCATAACTCCTAATATAATATTTTTTTTCAATTTAGTGATTGTAAAAAGTAATTTTTTTTATATTTCTAATGATGCAGCTCAGCAGGCGGATTCAGTCCAAATTGTTGCCCGTGCTGCACTCTGCTTCGATAATCAAACGGTCGGTAACATCAAACTCTTAACCATATAACCAATACTTATATATTAACATTTAAATAAAATAAATGTAAAAATAATAATAATTAAAGGCCTAATATCTAATCATTTCCAACAAACAAAACACAAGAAATTGATACCTAACAAAAGTATTTACCATGAAATTTATGACTAACTAACATACTATTAAAACATTTGCATCAATCAGTAAATCTGTAAATCTGTAAATCTGTAAACCTTCTCATGCATGGCTGAATGAGAAAAATTTGCGTACGTAAGACGTTTGCAGAATTGCGTATATCGGAGGTTATTCAGAGGGTATTGGAAGGTTATAGGTGAGTTACAGAGACGTGACAGGAGGGTATAACGCGGATATAACCCTCAATACCCTCTGAATAACCTCCGATGTACACAACTCTGCAAACATCTTACGTATACAAATTTTTCTCTGGCTAAAGCAGCATAAATATAAAATCTGATTGAGTGCAGGCAGGGTATATCTGTAAACCTTCCTGACAAAATCAACATGCTGTGGTCGAAAAATTTAAAATTGCAGGTGACAAATGGCTGCACGAGATGGATGAGACGCATAGCAAATAAGAATGTGACTAAAAAGGGAGCGGCTCGTTTCTGCGGCAGCCCTTGTGCTGGGCAGATGATGCTGGTCTTCGGTTGTGTGGAGGACATATTATCTAATTTCCAGTTTTACAGTCCTGGACTCTTGCTGGGAGTTCAGTCCATTTTTCAGATGTCTTGTGGAGGGAGGACAAGTGCTCCCAACACTGACATCAGCACTAATACCAGTAAGATACAACAAACTTTTTCCTTCTAATTTTAAATATTATTTGATTTTTGAGATATATATATATATCTGTGTGCGCACGTGCGTACCCTGGCCTGTTGGTTGGCACCACGGTATAAGGCCCCTCAGGTGAGGGGTTCGAATTTAGGCACATTAGAGGTGGTTAGAGGATTGTCTCTAGCATTCCTTCTTTAATATCTAGCATTCCTTCTTTAAGATATATATTATATATATATATATATGTCACAAAATTATTATATATTTGCATGAATCACATTTGAAATTTCATGTCTATACTTACACAATTTTGGTGTCATAAAATTAGGGAAGAAATGAACGGGATAGTGGTATTTTATTAAAAGTGAAGATTGAAGTTTAGGTGTTAGATATATAAAAATATAATAATTATATATATGATTAGGCATAAAAATATAATATTTTATTTTTGGGAAATTTGCATATATACCACACAATTATTATTCATTTTTTATATTTAATATTTAAATTTTGGTGTTATGAGCTTTGGAGGGGAAAGGTGTGTTGGGTTTTAAAAGGGAGTGATGGTGATATTTTTTTTATGGGAAGTGAAGGATTTGGCTTGTGTAAATAGTAAGGTTTAGAGGTTTAGAGGTTTAGAGGTTTAGAGGTTAGATATGTAAATGAATGAGAGTTATGTGGTAAGTATGTAAATGGCCCTTGTGATTTAGTTTAATATCTGAATTTAATATTTAAAGATCAACTATGATGTTTTCATGCCATTATTTATAAATTTAATTATTTAGTCTACAAGCATTATTTTAACTAATTTTAATTTACAGATTAAATTATTAAGAAATTATTTAACATCACATTGATTAGATTATTGCTAACATTTGATAAAATCAAGATTTTAATTAATTAATCCATAATTAGCAATGACCGAGACAAATAAACTTTAATTATCTCAACTAGATTCTAACAAACTTGCGAATCTTGTTAAACCTATCATTGTCATGCTCGCAGCCAAACAAGTTTCTAGTATTTTAATCAGCTTAAAAAAAGAAAGGAAGATTGACATAGAATCAACCCAATTCTTATGTATTTGCATTTCTACCACCAAAGGCTTTAATTTTTACATCACCTTATACTTATTGGATGGGTAAGTACAAATGAATTGATTGGTATGTAACTTTTATATATATATATATATATATGCGCACCGCGTACTCATATCAGTAGTTCGGGAATCTACTTGTCAGTAGTAAGTCCCTTCTAGTATGGGGTTCGATTCCCCACAAATGTAGGGTATGGTACTCAAATTTTTAGGCACATCAAAAGGGTCGGATCTCATATAATAGCCTTAGGCCATTTTTTAAAATTTTATATATATATATAAATATATAATTTATTTATTTATTTATGGAATAGAAAAATGTAGTAAAGCTAAATGTAAATTTAGGTGCATCTGGGAACATGGTGGCTGAGAAAACTGAAGTGAAGGCTGAGGCAACGGAAGCAAAAGCTGAGAAATCTATGGCCAAGCACTGGAGTTCTTCTACATGGATAATTCCCTTGGCTTTTGCTGTTGTAGCTGCTCTTATTCTTTATAGTTCGCCAAGAAGTCTCTACTCTTGAGATTTGGAAAAGATTTATGCCCTTGTTGAAATGCTGGGGTCTTTGTTATAACTACAGAGAGAGAGGAAGGCGAGCTGTTTTCTCTCCATTCATAATCTATGTATTAGTTATATTATTTTTTTTTTTTTAATTCCGCTTTATTATATAAGCGGTATAATGTAATTGTGGGGGTTTATTATGGCATAAAATTTGTAATATTGGGTACATTATTTAAAAGTTTAGGGTTCTCTTTTCTTCACTTTATTATGGTTATCATTGTTACTTTTATTATTTTTGTTATTATTATTATTCTTCTTATTAAATATCTTACACTTCCGTAGTGTAGGCATGTGTTAGCACTAATCCTAGAGCTACATTCTTATATTACGTTCATCACACCATATATCTATCTATCTATATATATATATAGCCAATGTTATTTTTGAGTCAATATCTACAGATAAATTGAATTTAATTCATATATGAATAGGATTCAAAATGCATTTGATCCATAAGTTTTTAATAAGATGTCTAAAAAGAAACAAAAACTAAAATTTCAAAAAAAAAATAAATTTTTTTTAGGGGTTTTTTAGGGCCTAAAATACTTTTCAAATTTAGCGCCTGCATAAACAAAACAAATATTTCAATGGGATTAATGCAACGAAACTCAAAAATCATAAAATTTTACATTCATTAAGGCACACTGAGACACCTAAACATCAACTGATTTCCCAGTTCTACACAAGTATTACCTAAGTGCTTGTTTGGGATCACTTGTAATTTTGTATTTTCAACTTACTTTTACTGGAAATAAAACACATTTGATATATTAAAATATTGTAAAATAAGAAAAATAAAAAAATAAAAAAGAACACAAACAAGCCCTAAATATATCATTTTTTATTATTATTATAAATATTTAATGTACAACTAACCAACAAGGTGAACCCTTGCCAAATCAGCTTGTATGCCAAAACTAACATAAGATTGCAGTTATAGACGTGCTAAAACTACAATGACTTGTAACCATATATAAGCAGACTTAGAAACTCCAACAACAATGTTTCATAAGAGAGCTGAATAGTGAAACATCTCTCTACATCACATAGAACATCAGAATTAATTAAAAGCCAATATAAAGGAAACTTACTTACCAACCAACCAAATTGGGCAGCCTCTGCCGGCAGCTGTTTTCCCCACCAATTTCTATCCATCCCTTGAAAACAAACCTAATTTTAAATCATTTCGTAAACTAACAAATCTTAAATTTACCCAACAACCCCCATCACCCCCCCACCGGCCAATGGATTCACAAATTAAATAAAATATGCAACTGTACTAGAAAAAAAATGTAAGAATAAAGTTATACAACTTGTAAAGCAATATCCCTCCTCACATCTGAACCCTCATCCAACTCCACTCAATTCAGCCAGAAGAATATTTCTACAAAAGTTTGGGCATTTGCATACATACCACACAATTCTTACATATTTACATATATAACAAGTAAATTTTCATATTTAAATTCATAATATACAGTTAAATATGTAAATAAATAAGAATTGTGTGCTACTGATATAAATTTCCCCAAAAAAAATATATATTGGAACAGAGAAGGGTAAAAACAAAGCAGTGCTCGCATGGATCAGCAATTATGAATAAAATGCAGATAAAGCTGAGTTCTGATCTGAAACATGTGCTTTATCATATCATAAAAATAACAAAAAGAAATTCCAGCCCTAAAATGCATTCCATGCCTAAATATTAATCATTGTATAATAAATTCTAATGAGAAAATATGCAAAGTGTGACCAAAATCCAATAACTAGAAGAAAAGTACTTCTCTTGCTGGCCTAAATCCTCACACTGTTCATAGGTCCCTCATCCTCACAAGCTTCTTATAGAAAATCCGATCATCTCTAGCAGAACTGCTTTCATACAGTGCACTCTGTACCAATTCCTGAAATTACACACAAAAAATTATGAAATTATTTTCTTTTAATCTGGAGAAATAATTACTCCAAACTATGGCATGATAAAGATATGAGTTAAGGAAGTTGGAGCAAGAATCTGACCTTGACGTCTCGGTGGGAAAGAAACTTGCCGAGATCATGGAGTAAACATCTCAAATCGTCCATCTACAAACAAATCCAGCATTAAAACTATAACCCAAATAAAATATAAAAAAAAAGAAGGGGCATTACATATATAGCACCCAATTCCTATGTAATTTACATATATAACATCCAAAGTTTGTTTTTTTTTTAATTTATACCACCCAAAACATTCATATCACGTCAAAAATGCCACCTTTTTTTTACCTTTTATAAAGTGAAAAACATCTTTTCATGCATAGGTAAGGTGAAATACATGTAAAAATTGAAGTTTAGGTGTTAGATATGAAAGTTTAGGTGTTAGATATGAATATGAAAATATATAAGAATTAAGTGGTATGCATGTAAATCTTCCAAAAATAAAGTAAGAACAAATTGGAGGGAATTTACCTTAATGTACCCCACTTTGTTATAATCGAAGAATCTGAAGGCCTATTACAAACAAAATAAAAAACAAAACTAGTAATAAAAAAAGGAGGAGAGAGAAAGTAGAAGAGACAAATCCTATAAACAGGCATGAACAATAATATACCTGTAAAAGTTCCTTGTCAACAAACTCCTTCACCGAATCAGACTTTTCAGTTGAAGGCTTCTTCTCATCCTTGCTCCCACTATTGGACTGTTCATCGTTCTTGGTTTCGGTTCCTTTAGTGTTATTCTCGCTGGCACTTTCCTTCCCTTGATCATCCTTAGATGGAACCTCTGATTTGGGTTTTGTATCAGCTTCTTCAACCGCACCCTCATCCACCTACATCAATTAGGAAAATTATGCAAAATAAAAAAAAATCATCAAGTTTAAATTGAGATGGGACTGAGAATCTCATCCACCTTGTAATTTAATGCAGATGACCTGTAAAAAGATCAATTTTCAAAAAGGATGGGGAATAGATGGAAAATGTTGGACCCATGGATGAGATGCAAGCAGAGAGCAGCCAAGTTTTGAAGGATAGTTGATCAAATTAGCATTTGTAGAAATGACAATGAATTGAACAAGATGCAGGTGAAACCTAGCCTACACCGGTTTTAATGTTGATGGCTCAGAGCCTTAGTGTAATCTAATCATGCATACAAATACACAACCATAAGCTCTAGATTTGTTGCTCTACCTCGTCTTCTTCTCATTTTTGTCTCACTACTTGCCTCTACTACAATCTAACGTGGCAGCCAGATGACTTCATTGCCGATTTTAACTTCCTACAATGCTCCGTGGATTCTTCAGGGCATGAGAAGTGCTTCATGAAATGAAAGCCTGCCACATTTCTCTTCAGGAAATGTATGACGACATTCGCAATTTTAAGATGTTGCACCGATAGTCCCATTAAATTACTACAGCTGTGGCATCTCAAAAATGAGACTTGGCGCCACAGGCCCCAAGCTCGAGTTGGTCATAATGCCTTATTCTCTGTACGGCTTTAGTTTCTTCCCTCCCACCACATAAATGGTTGTTGCAATTCAAAACATAGTTGTCTTGAGGGCAATGTTTAAAATTACACAATTGAGTATTGAGGTGTTTTCCATTCATGAGACGCGGCATAAGTCTCAAGGCGCACAATTGAAAATTGCAAAATATCATATAACTTCTTGCAAAAAATAAAAAAAATAATGTAAAAATCAAATGATCAAGTAAACAACTACCATAAATTATGAAATGGAAGTAATATAAAAATACCAAATCAAGTCATAAGATGACTTTAATATAGTAGACTTCTCCCTCTCACTTATTATTCAACCAACATATAACATTATAAATCTAAATAAGAACAAAATAAATAATTAAAAGTTGTAGTAGCAAGCGAAAGCGACGATAAAAAGAGCAACTGGCGACAATGATATCGGGGGTAGAAGGAGCAACAAACGGCTATAGCAAAAAGTGCATATAAAAACTGTAGTGGAAGCAGCAAGCAGATAGCAATGCCAAAAGTGGAAGCATCAAGTAACGCCGACAGTAGAAGAAGCAAGTGGCAATGCTAGAAAGCTTGAATAAGGAGAGGGAAGCCCTTGTGCGTGAGAGTTCAACTTCGGTTCGTATTAGAACCATTTGATAAAATCTAAGCACGAAAGGTGAACGTCTCATCAGAATTGAGGCGAGACGCACCTTGAGGCATGCCTCAACTGATGAGAAGCATAGTCTTGAAGTTTTTTTTTTTTTTTTATTAGATTGCGCCCAAGGCAAATCTCGAGGCTTGTTTCATTTTGCGCAAATTTAAACAATGGCTGAGGCCATGCTACATAATTGATCTTACCAATAATCAAATGTTTGTCTCAAAGACTAAACCATGCATGTGAAAGTATAGACTATCTAATCATTTACACAAATACATAATCACAAGCCCTAGATTCCATACTCTCCTTCATTTTTTTATCTATCTCATTGCTCGCTCCTACAATCAACTATAGCAGCCATATGAATTCCTTGTCTCCAGCCAAGAAATACTCGCCTCAGTCACCTAACTATTTTGTTTTGTATATAAAATATATCACAACCAGCATGCGTTGGCATTCTCGCATGTAGCTCCAAGTCCAAACATAATTTACTTTACATACAACCAAGTAAACTCAAGCCCTAGAGGTGACCCTCTTATCTTCTATTCCTAACTGTGGTGGCCTAATTTAGTATCACAGCCAGCTTACCCTGCCTTCCTGCAGTTGAACTATCACCCAAAATAATCGCAGTCACCCCCTGCCTGAATCATTTCGCGAAAATAACATCCACCATTGGATGATCCGAAGAAGTGATGACAACTCCAGTACACAAGCCCCCTTTTATTTTTCAAATCCAATGCCCCAGCTATTGACTACCTCCCGCTCACCTAAACTGTGCTGCAAAAGTCCCTCTAATGGATGCCGAACAAAAGATGCATCTCTTCAAAACATCTCCATCAGCCTTTGATGGGATTCAAAAAAAAAAAAAAAACAAAACAAAACCCTTCTACGCAACCAAATTGCTCATTAAGCTTTCTCACCCACCACTACTTGCAGGTCAAGCATTTCAGTCTTCCCATTTTACTTAATTGAAAATCCAAAGAAGTTGCATAGAGACTGTACATGGATCAAACCAAACTGGAACATTAGTGTTGATAGTCGGCCACCACAAAAATGGATACAAGAGGCACATGAAGCTGAAATATTAAGACCATGGAAATGGGTAATGGAATCAGACCGTTAGTGTAAAACTGTGAATTCAGATAAATATTGAAGAATCACCATACAAAAAAAGCACAAAAAATGATTTCAGGAAATATTTGGCGAGGAGATCAAAAATAATCAGAGTTTATATGACAGCATCCGATACCAAAACTTCAGAAAATCAAAAGCCGGGCACAACCCCATAAAGAAAATTTACTGGTTTAATCAATGACTTGAAGAACTATATGATCTATGCAAATATCAAGCTCATAGAAAACCTATATGAAAAGGCATGCAAAGACATGAAAGAGAAATCAAATAAAAAAGATTGACAAATGGCTATGCCACTTACCACCATAACTACATCACTTGCCGTTGCGGCGTCTTCAACTTCTTCGTATTCTTCATACATTTCTTCCAGTTCTTCCTCATCCTCGTCGGCTTCATCAACATCTGACTTCTTTTCCTGATCATACTTATCTGCTTCAATTGAGTCAGCATTTTTAGAATTGTTTTCATCATGATTCTGATCTTTAGAATCTTGTGTTTCTGGTTTGACAGACTCCTTTTCTGCAGGGGATTTATCGCTGATCTTTGGACGCTTTCTTGAGGCTGCCTCTGCTTCACTTTCTTTTTCTTTTTTCTCTTCCCGTTGTCTTTTGCGTTGTTTATGCTTAATAACAAACCTTTTCCGTAGTTTCTAGAATACAAAAGCCGCCACAAATTCATCACTAATTCATGAATGCAAAAAATTAAATTGAATGCTAAAATTGAGTCTACCTCAAGAAATGATAGTATGCGACAACCCATTTGATACTGAAGCATTTCATTAAAAGACTCTGCAAATAGTGACAGCTGCAAAATGACATAATCAAGGAATATCAAAATGAAAATTATGAAAGTAACAATTTAATTTATTTGTAAGAAATGTAAATAAAAAAATAAACCTCAAAAGTTGATTCTTCAGTATCCTTGTCATTGTACTCCAAGAGCCCAGCCAATGAAAGGGACAGTGAACGAACCTGAAAGAATCCAAAATAGTTTGTCATCTCATACAAGAAAGGCTAAGCACTTATGAAAATACAACTAATTAGAAGTTCAGTAGTTAAAACAATTTAATATACTTTAGATTCCTTTGTCTTCTTTGTCTTTAGAAACAATCCTGGTTGTTTAGGAGGTTCGTCAGACTTCACTTTTTCCTTTGTTTCTTTGGATGATTTGTTCCTAGAATCATGCTTAGCATCCTTCTCCTTTGTATTTTTGCTCTTCTTCTCTTTGTCCTGCCTTGATCCCTCCCCTTTAGCACTACGCGAATCTTTCTCAGAATCGTTTTGCTTTTGGACCTCCAGTTCACTGTTACTAGAAACATGTTTTTCAGTTTTTGGAACTTTTTCTGTTTTGATCACCTTTTTATTATCCATTGACTCAGTTGTTTTCTTTTCAGAGGCACCACCCTTCTCAACAGCCAACTTTTTGGCCTCTTCTTTAGCCTTGTTTTCAAAAGGGCTGGATCCAGCCGTGTCTTGCTCTGCCTTTACTACTGGCAGATCTTCCTCCTTGATGGCTTTTACAACAGAAGTATTATTTTCTCCCAGTACACCATCTCTTGCAAGGGCAACTCCTGGTTTATCTCCAGTAGGCACGACCTTTCTCTTTATCACCCTTCTAATAATTCTTTTTTTTGCAGCTACTTTGCCACCAGTAGTCTGCTGAGCAGCTTCCACTGCTGGCTCTTCATCATTTTTAACTTTTTGTTCCATATTTTTAATATCTTGCTCCAGTTTCTTCTCAACAACTTTATTATCTTCCTCTTGAGAAGATTTTCCTGTAGCAACCTTTCTGACAACTCTTTTTCTAACAAAAGTCCTAACTTTTTCTGGTTCAGCTGAGCTATCGTTTACTAGAGCAATGATTTCTTGGTCGTTTTGTTTGTTTTCAGGATCCTTTTCAAACTTTTCATCATGTTTGGCAACAGTCTCATCAGCAGGTAAAGTTTCTTTCTTATCAGCAGCCTTCCCTCTGACAACCTTCCTAATAATTTTTTTCTTTGCTGGCTTTTTCACTTCATTTGGATCAGAGGAAGACAGATCCAATGCTTTCTTTTCATCAGTTTTATCATCGACAACCATTGCTTGAGCATTCTTCTCAGTGGGATTTTCAGCTAATTCAGGTAACTTTTGTTTCTGTTCGCTTCCATTTTTGGAATCAGCACCCTCGTCTTTACTTTCTGCAGCTTTGCTAATCTTATCGACTTTACCCGACTTGTCTTCTGCTTTGCCAATCTGCTCATCTTTACTTGACCTGTCATCAACTTTGCCAGTTTTTGTAGCCGTAGCAGATTTCTTAGACTTGCTAGAACCATGATCACCTAGATATACCACAATATTTTCTCCCTCAAAAATGTAAAAAACTTATAAAAAAATTACACAGAAATAACTAAATTGGCGGAAAGCCTATAAATACTCTACCTTGTATGGATTCCTTTTCGCTTGATTTCTGTAGGCGGGCAATGAATAGCATCAGAGAGAACTTTCATTCATATGACACCTTGAACAACTAAATTATTAGAAAATCATAAAAAAAAAAATATTTTAGAACCTTTTCTTTCTTTGAAACTAGTTCCCTCTCCCTCTCCACAACCTCTTTCCTGTGAGCAAGCCACATAGATCGCCAGGAATGCAATGTAGGTAAGCAATCTAACAGGTTTGGCACAAACAAAACAGTGATTTCTTTATAACTAGATAACCCATCATCACCAATCCGGTTGTAGTGTATCTGTCAATTTGACTTGAATTTAGAAAACAGCCAGCATAAACAGTACAACTACATTTAAGGATGACCTTAAAAAATCAGGATGCAACTCCTTTCTTGTTAGTGTCTAATAAACAGAATCTAATTATCAGCCAACTTGATTCATGAACATTGTGAATGATACAAAGTAGAACCAAAGCTTCAGCTGGATGATAAATTATTATTTATCCAATTAAAATGGAGTCTTACTTAGCGGCAAACTGGTAACTAACAGTACATTTCATCTTATAATGCTGATGAACCATAAATACCAAGAAAAGTACTGAGGAATTTTGAATACATGCAAAATCAGTTTCCAATTTGTTTTTATTGATAAAGTTGTCATTTTCACCTTGATATACTCTAAAAATATGAAAACATCACCTTTATTGAAGCAACACATGAAGCTTGAGCAACTTAATTAAGAAAATGTAGCAAGTTTCACATGATATATTTGCTTGAGGATTGGTATCCAGTACATAGATTGACATTTGACACTGATTTCTTGTTTCTCTATATTAGTCATTAACTTATTCATCAGTTAAATGTACTTCTGCTTCACATTTTTCATCATTATATTTTGTTATAAAATGCAAAATTGATTACAACTTAAATTAAGAGTAAAGTTTTCAAAAGCATGAATATGCTATGATTTTAGTGGATATTTGAGACAGGAAGAAGTCAAACTGAATTATAAAGCACCAATCTCATGCCTCAAAACCTCACCAAAGTCGAAAAACATGACAATGGAAATTATCTACATAGAGACAGCTATAAGGCAATGGTTCGCCTAAAACTCACATCAGAAATCAAACTCTTTTGAAAAGTTTTATTCTTCTTCAATATTTTCTTTGAGCTGAAATACATACATTTCAGGTAATACTACATATTTTAAGTTCATATGGTATCATAAAACACAAAATATGAAAATTTGAAAAATAATTTTCAAGAAGCTTCAGTTGACTACCTCTGATTTATGGTGCCAATCATCACGTCGTTAAGAAAAGGCATTCTTGATACAATTTTAGTTCATAACTTGAGTAAAAAAAATACTACTTTCCATTTCAAAATTAAACAAAAGGTTACAAAGTAACTCAGTCAAGTATTGAGATAAATTTTCATCCTATTAAAATAAAAATTCTTCAGCTTTAGGCTGCGAGCAAATTTTCCTATACTTCAAGATGTTCTAACACAAGTAACAAATAAGAATACCCCCACCCCCACGGTTAGTATGCAATTAAAACACAAGCATTAGTTTGCTAGAAAATTTGACTGCCTGGTTTTGCCTACCTGTTAAAAAAATTCAAAATAATTTGTTAATTTAAGGCCCAAAGGGCAAATAAAAGCATACCACATGGTCCGTTCCATTGGTGAACAATAACAAGCACAAAACCCTGAATAGATGCTGTTTAACCATCATGATCCTAAATATACACGATACCTTGTTGGAAATAAAAAATTAGAAGAGAACTAAAAAGTGCTTCGGTTTAGTAAAACTGCCATGTTACCCAAAAAAAAAAACGATCATACGCTCTGCAAATGAGTTATTTAAACTATGAAATAGCAAATGAGAGAAAATTTGATACTTAATATTCAGAATAAAGTTCATCCAAAAGGAAAAAATAGCATTAAGACATTTAGCAAATAACACGAAGAAGAAAGAGGATGGAGAACCTCAAGGAATGGGTTCCAGTGCTGACAGTTCTGTAAATCGAGCTGAGTTACATCATTCAAGTATCTGCAAAAAAACAGCCTACCCTTTAATCAAACGGACAAACAAACTGCATCTGAGAATAAATTACAACAGTAGGGGGTTTGACTTTTGCATCACAGGGATACAAGTTATAATTACCTCTTAGCAGTTTGGATCAGCGAAGAACCATGAATTATTGGCTCCGCACCATCCAATGCCTCTTCCCATTGGCCTCCAATAGTCACAAATGAATGGTCCTTCTTTAGAATAGCAAACCTCAAGAAATTGTTGAAGTGGCTTAGTCTGTCATCAGAACTTTTATCAGAGCACAACTCATCCAGAGTATCACTGCTGACCCCACTCATCAGAATAACCTGTGGAAGGAAGGGAGATACAAGACAAACAATTTTACATAAGCAAGTTAGTATAAATAAGAAAAATTATAATGTATTACAAATAGTTCTGTAAAAGTAAAAATTTAACGGCCTTAACCAAACAGACAATTACATAGTGGTTTATTGAGGTAACAAATCCATGATATCTACAGCTCGTAAACAACAAATTTTTTATGGGTTGTCATTTAATGATTCTTGTTGTCAGTATGGTCATGTTTGTTATAACTGCAACATTTGTAAACCATTTCAATGAATTTTTTTTTGGTTTAAAAAGGGAAAACTATGAAAATGCATGCACTGTCAATTTTCAAGCAGACATCAATAAGTGTGAGGTTTATAATTAATAATTCAATTGTAGTTTCCACTTTTCTTCATGTAAAAGAAGAGCAAATCACTTCAATCCCATTAATCTTCTCATAATATTTCTTCATAATTTTTCGTATGGCGGGATTTTCTTGACAATTTTAGAGTTTGTGCAGGACTCATTGCTTTTATTTATGCTAACGCTCTGCATGTGAGCGGGTTTAGTGCAGTGATTATGTTGTCAATAGTAAGAATTTTGAAGGACTAAAGTATGATTACTGAAAATACGCTTTAAACCCCTCAACAGAGCCTGCTAACTTAAATTACTAAGGCTCCCTACCCGCATTAGTATGCCAGCATAAGCCATAATTATCATGTTATTTCTTTACAAATTATTTCAATGAAATTATATTTGACAAGAAATGGAATGCACTGCAAATTTGCAAGCATGCAACTATAAAGAAAATTGATTGGTGATTGTTAGTACTAAAAAATTTTGCTATTGGTAGTTCTTAACTTGCAATGAGTAATAAATACTTTGGTACAGGCCTAATGAATTGCATTCTGTACTTAGATTAAAAAGGAGCATTTAATGTAAAAAGCATTGCATTCACCAGCGGAAGTAACAAATATAGAAGGATACAATCCCCCATATGTCATGATTAATATTGCACTAAATATATATTAATTAATTACACAACAAAAGCCGATTGATGCTTAGTTCGCCCTAGCTTTCAAGCGCATCAAGATATGGCATGCACGCATTCACAAAAAAAGGGGTTTTAAAAATTTTGCAGTTGGTATTTTATTAACTTGCAATGAGTAAGTACATGTATATCGGTAATATATTACATCCTCTAAAATTGCATAAAAATATTGTATTTAATAAAAGATCTTGCATTCACTGGGAAATTTACATGGCAGGATTCAATTCCCCATCAAATGTAACCCTCCTATGTCATGATTAATATTGATGTACAGATACTAATTAATTTTACAACAACAATGATTGAGGCATCATTTGCCAGAGATTCGAAAAGCATATTGATGTGATATGCTGTAGAAGACGGTCAATCATAATTATCATTAGACTGCCAATTACTAAGGGTGAGCGGAACAAATCCTCATTTTTTATTTGTTCCACCTGAATTTGTTTAGATAATCATGCCAGCAAAAAAAAACATTATAGTTACTTCTGGTCTGACTGACTTGCAGAATGAGGGAAGCCTTCGGTCACTAAACTACTGGATTAAAACTTCCTTATTCCAGATTATTATCTGTTGACAACTATTTGCTAATAAAAGGTGAATCTTTCAGATTGATAAACCAACTGCCTACTTAAGAGCAGTCCGCATGTTTAAAAAAGCACAAAAAATATTTAGAGTTAAACATGACCAATGATGTTTTATATTTGTTCTATATACTAAGAATGTCATAAGGATTCGTAGAAAATCAAAATATCGAAACTCTTATAAGAGGAGTCGTGAATTGTAACATATACTAAGAAGTCATTTAAGATCGCAACAAAACTAAAAATTTACAGCATGGCTTGTGAACCATGCTCAAAATAAGTGATTATCCAATACATAAATTAACAAACAATAGGCTTCAAAATTTTCAAATAGAGCTTGCCTTTGCATTCCAAACAATATTTGTACTTTTTGCTGAGTCTTCTGCAGGAACCAAATACGTCTCCTCACTTTTGTTATCTTCAACAAAATCATGCTCAAAGCTGCCAATACAACAGAGGAACAGGCAGTAGGAAAGCAGCTAAGGGAATGGTGTTGTTTTAATAAAAATCTGTTTCACCAAGTATATAGGTAAACTTCTCAAGGTAAATACCTGACAGGAGTATGCAGTGAAAGATTTAAGTTCTCTTTTGGCCATTTCAAAACAACCTAAATTTAAACAAAAAATGTGAGAGAAGATCATAGCTAATATGCGATCGCAAGTATGAGGAAGTTGTGATGAACAGACTCAAGGTAAAAAAGCAAACCTTTGTAAATTCAGGGGATATTGATAACCTAGGATATCTCTTATTTACCGACAGATAATCCCTTTCAGCTTCAACCAAGCAAAAAGGATGAACCTGCAAAGACAACTCAAATCATCTTTCAAAAGTTGACACAACATTTTATCACCTATCATTTCATTCTTTTGACTAGAAAAGCTGAGTTCGTTCGTTTAATACAGAAAGAAAATAGCGCTCAATGTGCAGCATAAGGATTATTACACATAAAACCACAAATTGCATAGGTATGTTTTCAAGGGAAAAAAAATACATTCCGAGTAAAATATCAAACTCATAAATTTTAGTTACCATGAGAACTAAATGTAGTATTTTGAAAGATAAATAGCAAAATGAATATGAATGCTTGAGCAAGATTTATGGACAAGATGATCATGTATAAAGAAAACTAATGGTATAAAAGGACTCAAAGCAAATAAAGGAATGGCAGGCCATTGATAAACAGCCTAAACAAAGTAAACTATCTATATCAATATGCCATACAGCACACAGCTAAAGGAGAGGAGGTGCATAGAATTTAAAGGAGTTAAAGGAAAAACTCCAAGCAAAGCAAAGCAAGGACGTAAAATGGAACTGGAAGAAATATAAGATCCAGAAGTCAAAAAAGTAGGATAAAACAAGGGTTTGAAGATTAAAAAAATAAAAACATATTCCCAAAAATGCTTTTAATGAAACTCGAAAATCCTATCTTTACCTTGCAAACATAATCTCTCTTTTTTTCTTTAACAGGAGAGCGATGCCTTCAACATAGCAGAAGAAATAGTTAGCTTTGAAAGCTGCACTGCAAAAGCAGCAACCTACATGTAGCTACCTTAATTTACAAAAAAACAATTTAAGTTCCACCTATGCGCCGCCTCCCGACGTGGTGAGACTCGACGAGGCACACTTCGAGGCAGCGGCGAGCGTCGAGGTGAGGCATGACGAGGCCTCTCATCCTTTTTTGCAGAAGAAGCCCGGCGATCTCTAGAAGCTCTAGATGGTGTACGCTCCCTCTTAGAATCCAAAGCACGCCTATGATCTCGTTCTCGTTCTCTTTCTCTTTCACGGCGATCTCTTTCTCGTTCACGTTCCCGTTCACGTTCACGATCCCTTTCTCGTTCCTTTTCTCGCTCCCTCTCCCGCAGCATATCCCTACGACGCTCCTCTTCACGTATATCAAGTTCTCGCCGATAAGCATCTCTATCATCCTTCCGTTCGGTGATTGTTGGAACTCCGAGATTTAGATGATCACGTGAGATGATGCTCCCTTGGTATTCAGATCCGGCAGAGCCAAGAAGGACTTTCCCTGAAATGTAATCACGTCCTGGGGGTAAACTCACCCCATAACCAGCATTTGAACCTTGAGTATAGATGAGGTCATCATAGTTCCGCCTTGGAGCTCCTAAAATTGAAGCAGAATGTGGTGCGCCATATTGAGAACTGCTGAGGATAGGTAAACCACGTGGATCTACATCCATTCCTCCACCATAGGAACTATATTCTTGAGAACCAGGATGAATAGGTGCAGCTCTTGCTGCAAGATATTCAGCTTGTCTGCCAGAAATGTATATTATTGTCACAACTGAGAGATTTGCATGTTTATTATTAAGGAAAAGGGAGATTAACCCTCAGTGGCCTCAACAGAAAGAGAAACTTATAGTTATATCATTACTAAGGAAATGGATAGAGGTGTTCTCTAGAATAAATAAGAACTACATCATAATCCGCATTGAGCAGCTCTAAACCATCAATTATTTCTTCTCTCATCCAAACTGAGAGAGGTTATAAAGCAATGAAAAGAAATTAGTATACCTTATATCAGGACCTGCATGCAATGACTGAGCTTTCAATATTTGTTGCTGTCGAAGCACTGACGCCTGAAAAAAAAATCACAAACGGATCATCAAAATCTTACAGAATAACAGAAAAAATAAGAATCAACTTTTCTCATGCATCCTTCAACTTGTTTCAAAAAAAATTTCTCCTCCCTGAGGCATAAGTTACCTGATCCATGTGATCAGGTAGATCAGTCTGCAATAATACAAAGGGGGAGATATTAGTACAAAAGCATGTTAAAATTTACAACCAAAAGAACTTATAAAATCAGAATAAACTAGCAGGAAGACCATAAATTTCTAGACCATGAGACCTGATGTTGATGGCTGAGAGAAGCAGAATCAGCATATCTTCTAGCTTGATCGCTCAAATCCCTTCCAGCATAGGAACCTTCACCATAAGCTCTCCTATCGATTGCATAATCAGAACTTTTTGCTCCAGAAAACTGTTCTCCCCTCTGAGCATATCCTCGATTGGAAGCTGAAAGATAGTCATCATTATAACCTGATCCCATAGTTCCAGCTGAATATTTGGATGAATCTGTTAATGAAGAAGGATAAGCAGGACGACTTTGAAGGTTTGAAGAAACTGCTCCTTTGTTACTCCCTCCAGCCTAAAATGATAATTTTGGTAAAATGAGTTCACAAAAAGCAGCAAAAAAACATTAATAGCATGAAAGACATTAAGTTACCTAATAACAATACAAAAATTAATGTAATAGCATGAAAGAAAGAAATTCTAAAACAACACAAATTGCATTAGGGTTACAAAGAACTGTGGATTAAAGACAGGACATTAAGTTACTTGATAACAATACAAAAGTGGATTTCTCATAAACTATATAACCTGTTGTCCACCGCTCAAAGCAGCTGAGCCATAGACGGAAGCATAAGGCCCTCCATATTGAGCTGTCTGTGTGGGATTGGCACGAAATCTGGCCACATCGGCTTCTTGGGCCATACCCATCATTGAAGTTTGCCGAGATGCCATAGCATGTTGAGCTCCCATCTCAGTGCCAGCAGCAGGATTGCTGGAGAAACCAGTTCCAGGCTGAAAAAAAGAAAAAAGACAATGTCCAGCATGAAGTGGGAACTTTATAAAATAGCAAATAATTAGACACCATAACTGATAAAATTAAAACTTGAAACAGAAAAGCATGGCACAAAAGAATAACTCGCTTGACTTGAAAGTTCAAACTTACATGTTGGCTATAAGCCTGTTGTGCGGCATAAGTTTGTTGCCCGGCATATCCACCACCACCACCACCCTTTGAAGGGTACATTTCCTATTTCTTAAACAAAATCAAAGAAACCTGCACTGACAAACAATCCTATCTTTAAAATAATAAAAAAAGCAAGAAATCATAGAATCGACAAAACAAGCCCTATTTACAAATTTTGAAAAATTAAACTAGTTTATCAATGTATCGATAAAAAACACAATTCAGTCAAATAAAACAAAGCAAATTGACAGAAAGTATGCATGTCAAAAGGTAAATTTAGACTTCAACAGGTTTAGAACAGAATGCCCGCTAATAAATAGAAAAAATAACTCTGGCAGATCTCGAATTCACCGACCGAGGAAATTAATGAAAGCCATTAGTAATGCACAATCAAAGAAATCCATCAGCATCGCACAATCACTAATCCCACATAAAACCCTAAAAATTCATTTGAGCTGAAGCCCTACAATCAGCACAACAAAGACGACTGCCTATAGAAACAAGTGAAGCCGATTGGAAGCGAAACGATGAAGCGAGAAATTTACCTTCGATGGAACACCAGATGATATGAAACCCTGAGGACAAAATGGGGAAGCTGACGAAGAAATGGGAGATGGGCTATTTATTGAGCTAGGGTTTGTGAAACCGTCGCTGGGCTGCGAGATCTGACGGCTCCCGAATTGGTTTTAATAAGGGATGAAAGCCTAACGGACGGATTAGATAAATTAGGATTGGCTTTTTTTTCTATTTTTTTTTTTACACATCACGAAATTCTTATATTTTATGTATTTAACGATAAAATTTTATGCAGGGAAATATATTTTAATTAAATTTTAAAAGTAAATAATAATAGTTGATATACTAAAAATAAATTTTTATCATCCGACACGAATCTCGAGGTAATATTTTAAACAAAAAATATTTAATTTTTGATAAAAAGTCATTAGGAAATCTGATTTCAGCAAACTTATAGTCAATGATCAGCTCGATGAAACGGACTCAATGATAGAAAAACTAGGCTGATCCGAGTCAGATCAAACATGAATCAAATCATTAAATCACTATGAAAATTTTTCCAGAGGCATTTGAAAGATCAAACGGATGTCAAATCTAGCGAGTTCATAGTCGAATTGAGCGTTTTGACAAGATGAATCCAACAAACCTGAGATTGTTCAATTCTGACATTGTTAAGGCACTCAAATGACCATAAAACGTCATTTGTTCGAGGGAATATCTCCAGACCGTCCAATAAAAATGGTTAATATTTCTGCATTAATTGCACCCATAATATTATAAATAGAGTCTCACCCCTCACATGAGAGAGAAAGCTAGAGAGATAACTTAAGTCTTTGATAAATAGTTCAAGTCCAACATTATCTTTGTCATCATCGATTGTCGTCGACCACCAACGACCATCAACGACCACCAATGGCCACCATCAACCACCGTCGACCACCAGCGACCGTTGTCGACCACTGTCATCGTCATATTCTGTGATCGACCACCACTAACCAAATGCCGTCAGTTGACGTTGCACCTTAGAAAATCTAATAATTCATTGCTATACCGCAGCGAATTTTCTAGCACGCATCGATAATAATAATATTTTTATATAATAATAAATCTTTAAATTTAAAGATGAGCCATTAATTTTTTTAAAAGGGGGAACAACACGTCTATTTAAAATATATATATTTATCTTATTATTATAGCTTTACGTGTAATTTTTATTAATATTATCATTTATTGTATAAATGAACTTTAATTCATATTTCAACATAAGTAAAAGAATATTTACTCTTTATTAAGATCAGCAGAAATACATAAAAATAAATAATAAATAAATTTATTTCTTTATATCATTTTATTATATTGGAATAAAATATAGTTTTTAGTTTTTTAATGTGATTTTAAGGAAATTAGTTTCAAAATCATACAATTTTTTATAGTTTCAATAATTTTATTTATCTTAAAATTCAATTTCACTTCATTTTAATTTTAGTGTACTGTTATTATAAATATTTAAAAATGATTTTTGTGTTTTTAAATTTCAATTTTTAATATATAAAAAATTTATTGAGTCATCAATGATTAAATTTACTTAAGATCTTTAACCTTTCAAAAGAGATTGTTTCATTATAAAAGTATATATTTAAATTAAATTTAATTTTAAGTTTAGATTAATTTCATGGGGAATAAGTAAACGAGGGGTGTAAGTGAGTCAAGCCAGTTTGTGAGTAGTCTCGAGCTCGTCTAGAAAAGTGGCTCATTAATCGAGCTTGATGGGCCTGACAAGCCAAGCTTGAGTGGTCTCAACTTGACTCGTTAGCTCGTGAACCAACGTTTAAAAATTTATTTATATAAAATACACTTAATTCAAGTTTTTATCACTAAATTATTGAATTGGTGTACCTGATGATATTTTACATTGTATAAGTCATTTTTTATTATTTATTATTCAAGTGTTTATCCTATTTATTATGTTTAATATAACACTAATTAGAATTAATATTTTTTTCTTATTTTCATAATAATCAAGCTGGCTCGTGAGCTAGCTCGAGCTCATATAATTAAGTTCAAGCTCAAGCTCAAACTCAATTAAGGGTCTGTTTAGGGTAGTTGCAGTTATTTGAGTGAGTAATTCTAAAGTTGCTAAAAAAAATAAGTTGTTCAAAAAACAGCGTTGGCTATTATAAATATTTTTTTAAGAAAAAAAAAATTTAGACTGTAGCTTTCTGGCGGCCACCGCATGCAGCTAAGTGTAGTGGAAAAAACACAACTTTTAGCTTAACCTTTTTTAAAGCACAGACAAAACACAATTTTGCCAAACAAAAAAAATTGTCATGCGACACCACACTGCTACTGACCGCTACCCCAAAGTTAATCAAGGGTGACTCCAGCTCGACTTTAATGGTTTTCACTTGTAAGCCCCATGCCCAAATGAATCTATTTGGTGTCGAATGTCCATAATATTGTGACAAACCTGAGAGGGTGAAAGGAATGAAGAAATTATAGAAGGGGGAGAGAAGGCGGAAACTCACATTGTCATGTAAAGCCAACATTGATGTGAAAGGAATCAACCGAGGAGATTTCGTGCACTAGCAGTGCAGCAGAGAAGAATGGGGTGAACTTCCTACACTTGGAAGACACGCGATCGACCCTAGAAGGAAGGGGCAGGAGTAGGTTTGACTTAATATAATAGATATATGTTTTTATATTTAATATTAATTATATGTTTAATTGGAATCTGCAAAACATAAAAATAAGAATAGTTATTTCGAAGACTGATGGTCCGTAAGTAAGAATAGGTGTTTGGAAGAATGAGGGTTCGTTTGGGGCAGTTTATTTGGTGCGGTGGCGTTTTGAAAACACACCTGACCTGTTTGAATAAACTGCGTTTTCAAAACGCCGAAAACAGTGTTTTCACACGGCACCTATCTAGGTGCGGTGAGAACTTTCTAGTAGCGATATGACTTTTCAAAAAAAAATAAAAATTTGTGATAGTCGTCGCAACTAGCTTATCAGTAGATTATTTTTAATCAGCTTATCAATATTAATCAGCTTATCAATAGATAGATTATTCAATAAGTTGGAGCTGCCCCAAACAGACCCTAAATCAAGTTGAGCAGTTATAGCCGGTGCATTCTGGCCCTCGTGCGGGAGTTTAAGTATGATTAGGGTAAATATATATTTCATTTAAATGAATCTTATTAATATTAATATTAATTTATGCTAATTTATGATATAAATATTAAGTCAAAGAACTTTAATTGGAAATCAAAATTGTTGAATTTAAAACAAGAGAGAAAGAAAATGCATGTATTAGGATTTAGTGTTTTATTATTATTACTATTATTTTATATAAGTTGAATTGAAAAGTTAACGGGTAAATATTAATATCTTATTGAATAAGCCAGTGATTGAAATTGTGCGAGCAATGAAATTAAAGGACAAATGATCTTCTAAGTTTGATGCGAGTAATTATATTTTTGAGTTGCAATAATGTTCATTATTCTAATGTATGTTTGAATTAATCTATGATTTATTCCAGTCATATGTGGATTATAATAGATTTTTCATATTGTGAGATTCTTTGTATTATTGTATAATAAAAATATGCATGTTAAAAAATTGCGCAATGAAATTAAATCATATAAAATTCTTCACATGGTCAGTCATGATATATACATCTTAAAGTTGTTGCTTTAATAGTTGCATAATGGTTTAGTTTATGAAGTTATTAAATTACTAAATAATTTATATATTCTAATAAAGATGTATATTTTAGCTCATTATATGATTAGAAATATATGCCATATTATGATTTGACCTTTATTTATCAGATCCTCCTGAAGTTATTAAATTACTAAATGCTTTTCTTGTGATGTTCGTCTCACAAAGTATCTCCTCAACCTTAAATATTTCATAACCCATAAATTTTATATTCTTTGATGTTAGCATTCGGCGCTACTCTCGTATAGAGAATGAGAGCATAAAAATAAAAAAATTCTTATGATATGACGTTTTAATAATTTAATAAGAAGCTTATAAAAACTTAAAAATCTTCATTCCTATAATTTAAATAAATAAAAATTCATATTTAAACTAAAGTTTATGAAGAAAATTTACATACATACCTACCAATTTCTATGTATTAACATGTCCAACACCTAAGTTTTACTTTATTTGTTTTAATACCATCCAAATCTTCCATAATCATATAAAAATAGTAATTTTAACTTTTAATATGTATATAATCATTAAAAGAGGAGTTAGATATGTAGATTTTTCTATAATTAATAATCTTCCCTTCACCAACTCCTCTTTAGTCCTTCCACCTACCACGATTCCGCCACCATTTTCAACAGTGATTTCCAGAAGGCATTTTCGCTCCCAGCAGATTGCAGTCTGAGGAAGAGAGAGGAGATGGCGGGAGTGTCGCTGGTCTGCGTGCCGTTGGTGGGGAAATCCGTCGAGCAGATGTTGAGCGAGATGGCAACGGCGACGGCCGGGGGAGCCGACGTCGCCGAGAGCCGGCACGACCCCATTCCGCCACCATTTTCAACAGTGATTTCCAGAAGGCATTTTCGCTCCCAGCAGATTGCAGTCTGAGGAAGAGAGAGGAGATGGCGGGAGTGTCGCTGGTCTGCGTGCCGTTGGTGGGGAAATCCGTCGAGCAGATGTTGAGCGAGATGGCAACGGCGACGGCCGGCGGAGCCGACGTCGCCGAGATCCGCCTCGACCACCTTGCAAGCTTTGAGCCCCGCCGTGACCTAGATCTCTTGCTTAGAAACCGCCCCCTACCTGTTCTCGTCACCTACAGGTCCAGCTAATTTTACTCCACTAAAGTACTGAATGCATAGAGCTTCAACACATTTTTTTTTTGGATTAGGAATCTTTTGCAATGGGTTAACTTTTTCCTTGCTTCTATAGTAGAGGTAGGTCTTGGATTAGATAAAATTGGAGTGTTTCTTGATGCACTTCACTGGTGGGGAGTGGTTATATCGAGTTGTTCATGTATATTGAGAAAATAACTTTTTTGCTCCTATGAGATGAAATGTATAGAGTATAGAGATGAATGTCAAGTGTTTATTGCACAAAATATGTGGTCTGAATTCAGGCTACACTTCCATTTGATCCAATGAACTCATTGGAGCTAGCTTGTGATGCCTCATGAGAAGGCGGTTTAAAAGCTAGTGTGCAAGGATAGGGGCCTGAAACCTTTTGAATGTGAGATAATGGGATGCAGAAATTAGATGATCTTAAGAATGAGAATTGAGAATCTTTACTGGGGTAGAGTCATGGAAGACCCTTAACTGAGGGATTTAACATGGTTTAAAAGGAGCTTAATGCTCGTGATGTTTTGAAAAACGTTTTTAACAACCGAATTCTATTTCAGTTTCAACTACTAGCATTTCTGACAAATCACAGCATGGATTGGTCATATATTTTTAAATGCACTTCGCATATTGCAACCGTTGTTGTACGCATGTACCAATAAAGATAGAAAGTATTGATTATTTTATCGGCACACTATTTCATCCAATTGACAACCATCCCTCGAGATTTGCCACCTGATTTACAATAGTTGGCACCAATAACTAGAAATCCCCACAGTGACTAGTAGGTGAGCATGTTTTCTGTTCTTTTGCTAGGTTGGAGCCAACATAGGAAATGGAACATCATTAACCTTGTAATATAGAAGCATCTAATACTCCAATGGAGCAAGGGATTTTGATTCTATAGAGAAACCTAATACCTATTATAAAAATCTGATGTGACATCATATTGCAGACTTTTTAACAAATTCATAAGCCATAGCTTCCAAAAGGAAAGAGAGACGAAAGGGATGAGTATGAACCCTAATTCTTCAAGAAAATTAAACCGACGGTGAAAGAGTCGAGGCTTCTCCTAAGAGGATTTTTATTCTCATCCTTTATTTCCTAACTTTTATTTTTATTGCCTTTTTTCTGATGTTTCTTTCATGATCAACATTGCCTCCGAGAGTGTCCCCTCGACCTAAACTTGTAAACCACGATGTCATATTTTTTTATGTTAATATTTGACGTCACTCTTTTTTAAATCATGGTTGTTGGGGAAAAGGTTGAGCTTATACTTTGAAGAAGCTTCAAAATGATGATGCAAGTGCTTACTGCTAACCTTAATTTCTCCTCCCCAGCGAAGCTAGCCAGTTGTTGTTGACTTCTCAGTCAGAGAGAGTGATATGGACTTTACCAGTAAGCTTAACCAACAATCGTGCTTGTAGGGGAGAGAAAGTTGCCTCAATTGGAACAAAACAAGAGGGATTGGAGAGCATTTCTCGAAACACTGGAGGATATATCATTGGGCAATCATAATTGATAAGGATTGTAGTATTGATATTGAGTTTTGTGCCTAAGATAATGAAGGAACTAGTGTTGATGAAGTTCAAGGCCGCACAATTAAATTCTTAGCAAAATATGATTGATCATGTTGACCATATCGTAGGCTTCTAGGTCATGACGGGTTTTATGTGTTATTCAATGCTCGTAGTTGTGTTGCTAACCACCCTAAAGGACATGACATCACATTAGTTCTCTAGGCTTCTGCCCGACACATCACATCATTTGAATATTTTAAAGTTAGTTCAACAATTAGTTCTAGAGCTGTTAAAAATTAATGAAGAGCTATTAGAGACTTATCAAGATACAACCTGAGGAGCATGGGTTACAAGGGTCTATATCATGGGGTTCATCAGGAAAAATGTTAGACGTAGATAACTTGGATTCATTTGTGATTAAGTTAGCAATAGTTTAAGGCTTAAAATGACAATTTAAGTATATTATTGCAGAAAAACTGTCTTTTTCTTCCCAAGTCCATTTAGTGTATAAACTTTGATGAATTCACAGAGGGTTCCAATTCTAAATCCTTATTTGATCAATTTTTTACTCTGTTCGATAAAGGCCTTGTTAGGGGGTATCAAAGGGGTCCCTTCAGGTTTTCATCTCAAGTACCCATGCTTGTTATACTTTAAATAATATGATATAGATATATTCATATTTATATGTCATAATACAAAGAGTATTTATATAATGATAGCCATAAAATGAAATTTTCTCGATGGCCATAGCTTGGTATTAAATATGTTATATGTACTTTAATTTTTCTTATTTCCCTTATGATAAGCATGCAAGATCTAGTATCTTGATTGGAACTTGGTTTGAAATTAGTTACTTAAATTTCCTTATTTCCCTGATGATAAACATCTAAGATCTAGTATTTTGATTACAAATTTTTGAAATTAGTTACGTGGTAGAGTTTTTTTTATTGTGGATTAGTTGCATGACCATCTGTCTTGTGATGTTGTACTCACAGGTATTTGTCACATATTGTTGGAGAGATCGTGGCCGTTTGTTCACGAGACTCAACATGATGGGTTCCAAAATTTTTAGTCATTCATCTAGGATGGAAAACACATATTTGTCCTATATTATGTGGTGTCTGAGGTTATAGGTGCTCTTGCCATGAGGGAGGTGCCAGTGGGATCGGTTGTGCTGATATTAAAGGGTGGTGTGACAACAGAGCTGATATCAGATACATGTCAACTACTACGGAGAGAGTTTCAATATATCCTGATTGACAAATTATCACTAGGGCTGCCACTATTAGCAGAGATTCAACCCGTCTTCACTTAAAAGAGGAACGAGTCTATCTCGAGCTACTTTGGAGGACTCTGTGGGGGTACACTTGGCACGGAGTTCCATTTCATTTCAACAACATACCCCTAGATGGTTAGACAGATAGAGATGGTTACTCGTAATTCGGGAAACCTTCTCAACTATTTGTGGTACAGTGCATCCGACAGTGAGATCCGTGCAGGGTTGCTATAAAGGAAAGCAAGTACAAAGGGGGGCTAGAGAGCCCCAACAAAAAAGCAAAAAAGAAAGCTACTAAAAAAAAAAAAAACTTCTCTCTTTCAACAAAAAAAGACAAGGGATAACTATCATGTAAATTCTTAACAAAAAATCTGTCCTGTAAAGCAAACTGTGAACAAATGTGGGCGATTTCATTGTTAGCTCTATGAGTGTAAGAGAAAGGCACCTGATGGAAGTTGGTTAGAAAGGCGAAGTCGGGCCTCGGTCCACCTTGCTGAAGCCAAGTGCTCTTTTCCATAGAATTTTGTAGATTGTTGTTGTCACATTCCACCACAAGACCTTTGGTCTCCATCATTCACGGTTCCATCAAGGTACTTATGTGTTGGACTGCATCCATTTCAACTTGAGAGCTGTCCCAGTGTTTTTGCCATACCAGCAAAATGCATCGACTTGTTTCGTCCCAGATAATCACCCCTAAGCTAGCCATCCCAGAAAGGGGAAGGGAACCATTGCCATTTGCTTGTGGAGAGAAGAAAACAGCTCGTTGGACCTAGTGGTACCCCACTGCTCTCGAATGCGGTGAACATTTGTGTAAGTGATGAAAGGACAGCTGAGCCCATTACCGTCGGGGTCCCAAAGGAGTGCCCGTGCTTTTTGAAATTCCTTGAGCACCAACATTGATACACCACACCACAATAAATTCTTTCAACAACTCCATACTTTCTCATAAGTTCCATAATCCCCTTACAAATTTCCTCAAAGCTAATAAAATTTGACATCTTGATACCCCATTTCAGTAGAATTTTGAAAGTAGTTCTTACCACTTGACATCTAGCGGCGATATGAGAGTAGTCTCACACCTCATTACACCCCCACGGGCAGAAGGGATTCTCCCCAATGTTCCTACTAGACATCCACATGTTAGTTGCAATAGCATTTTGGCGAATTCACCACCAAAACATTGCCACTCGACATTGCAATTTTAATTTTGATGTCTCAGGAGGTTACAACAACTCCACTACTTTCAATGTGGTAGACCTGACGCCATTCATGAGGATTCAAAAGCTTCGACATATAAGGTTGAAGTTCCACCAACCCTTGTAGACTGATGCGAGGGATGGGGGCTGTACCAGTTTGGTCTAGGTTGATGGAGGGCGGTCGGCTCTCTCTAGGCCTAGGGTTGCCGCCCAATTGGAGGTGGACAATCTTAATTATAGTTAGTTTATTTAAGTGTTTCTTTGATGTTTGAGGTTTAGATTATGATTTATTTGAGTTTATAGAGCTGTTGAGCCCACTTTTCTCTTTCTCTAGGGCTGTATTCAAAGGTTCCAAGTGGTGCTCCAAATGTATCTCATTCCTACTGTGGTGTGTATTCTCTTCTATCCTTCCCCCACTCTCTTCTGCTTCGATTCTCTTCACCCTCGCCACTTTCCCTTTGCTGCCACCTTACTGAACCCCTTCCTCTTTGCTGTTGCCGCCTTAAAATCCTTCCTACAACTGTTTCTAGCTTGCTAGCAGTCCCCTTGCCACCACTCCAGAGGTCCAAACTCTAACGGGTATCACCTATATTGTAGATCCAACCCTAGTTATAGTGTTGTATGGCGCTGAATTTAGGCCTTTAAAAGAGAAGCATAAAATTAAGTATTGCTGAGATGAGAATGCTTAGGTGGATGGGTGGCTTTACGCTTAGAGACAAAGTGTGAAATGAATATATTCGTGATAGGGTTGGTGTAGCTCCAGTTACAGACAAAATTAGAGAGAGTCGTTTTAGGTGGTTTGGTCACATTAAACACGACCATCTGATGATCCAATTAAGTAGTAGATGTTTTAGATTCGACTTATGTTAAGATAGGCAGAGGTAGACCTAGAAAGACTCAGACATATTGTATAAATAATGATCTTAATTTATTAGAATTAAGTAAAAATCTGACACTCAATAGGACGCAATGGAGGAAAAGGATTCATGTAGCCCACTTAGTAGAATAAAGGATTGTTGTTGTGTTTCTAAAGTGACAAGTCTTCCTTACTAGTAGCATGCATCGGTTCTTGTTTAGTTTCAGATTTTTTCTAAACAGTGGTAGTATGGAAATGTCAATTTTTCTTAGGCCAATGCTTGCTTTTTATGCTACATGAGTCTTGAACAAGTAATCCAATGAAAATATGTTTCAATACTATCTCATGAGATTCCCAAAAAATGCTGTCTCATGAGAACTTTTCATTTTTTTTTTTTTTGCTTTTATAAAAAAAGGTGGTTTTCACCCCAACTCTTCCCTTTCGTGATGAAGTTTATTAGTTCCTCAAATTGATCCCTTCACACTTAGTGCAGCAGTTCTGAGCTTTTTATGTTGAAGAGCTTATCAGTCTTTTTCCAGCAAGTTTCTGTATATTCAAACAGGACGAACTTTTTTCTTGTTTCAATACTCACATGTGGTGGAATGACCATCATTCGGAATATCTGAGAATTTGTTCATTGGATTGCAGTATGTTTTTGCGGTTCATTCAGTGGAATTTCTTGCACAACTCGGGTAATGAAATAATGTATAATTGTATTTTACTTTTCTTTTGTTTCATATTTCTCTTTATAGACCGAACTGGGAGGGAGGTGAATATGAAGGAGACGATGGCTGGCGTTTTGAGGCACTTCTTTTAGCCATGGAATTAGGAGCAGAATATGTTGATATTGAGCTTAAGGTTACTCAAATTTCTAACACTTAATTATTATTGGACACTATTTAGCTTTGGTTTTACCTTACATGGTTTTGTTGTTTTCTTCTGGTCTAATTTACACATTGATAACTAATTTTATTCAAACTTGCATCGAAATATACATTCTATATGTTCTTTTGCTCTATCGTGCTTGCACTTCAGCATTTTTTCAAATATTGACGTATGTTAAAAACATATTAAATATTTTATTTTGAATATTTATGTACTTATTTTGTCAGCACTTTCTTACATCCATGCCTGAAATGTTTTCAGCACCTTCCTGTTTGGCAAAGGAGACATATATCATGCATTACAGTTGCTATTTATGAATCGTGATGACTTAATCTTGCAGGAACCGTAAAATATAAAGAAATTCACTATGCTTTGCTGCAAAAACTTAAGTTATTGAAGTGTGCTGCATACTGCAAAAAAATAAATGTACCAATTTATTTGGGAAGAGGACTAGGAAATACAGCAAAGAAGCTGAGGATGACTGCTCGTTGCACTAAAATAATCTTCATTCATGACAGACTATATTTTGGGTGAAGTTTGGTGAAATTGCTGCGTTTCATTTGTTAATGTGGATCTGGCTTCAGTAAGTGTTACATTTTTGATAACACGCGCTAAGATTTGCATCTGGAAGGAGGGTCTAGAGTGTATGGAACTGCAGTGAGTTGAATTAGATGCTAGTGGTTGGGCTGTAGGGGATCAAATCTGGGGTTTGATGTGGTAGGAGCATTGGTGATGTAGCCCAAAAAACAAAGGAGATTTGAAACTATACGGTTAAGGGATTTCATTACCATCAAAGAAAAAAATAGATTAAATTAATGGTGATCTCCAAAATAGCAGGTAATTACTCATCCAGACCAAATGGGAAATCACTTATTATATTGAAGAATCACTAACCCAAACAAGATGAATCGCTCACTATCCTCCCTATGCTCTCTCCAAAACTCTTCCATATCTATAAGCCTTTTATAGCATCAAATATGTACTCCTTGGTTAACTATTGAGCTGATTATTGGGGATGGGGGTAATTTATGGTTAATTAAATAAGGTGTTATGTTAGTGTTTTTTGGTGATTAGAAAGCACAATTAGTATCTACTATATATTTCATCATTCTTCTTTTCATGGTTGCGAAGTATAATTGATAAGCCGTTTGGTTAGTGCTTTTTGGTGATTAGAAAGCACAATTAATATCTACTATATATTTCATCATTCTTCTTTTCATGGAAGAAACTTGACCTTTAGTTTGATCTTTGACTAAGCACATATTTCATTTCAGTGGATTGGCATTTATCAAAATGCTCGAGTCAAGACATGATAATGCTCATTCTAATATTAATTTGATGTAGTGCAAATGACAAAATAGAATTTAAAATAAATAATAAAGAGATATCATTATTATGAAAGAAAAACTGTATTAACTAAGTGCCGTAGGGATTTACTCATCCATAACAATTAGGAAATTATTCAGCTAATAGATACTGGCTTAGCATTTGATTTTGAATGTTAAATGCATTTAATGTCTAAACATTTTATACTATCAAACTTGAACTTGTTGTGACATAGGAGTCAGGATTACAGATCCTGCGAGGATACCGCTATTACGGTATCGAATCATGACATATCCGGTCTCGGGAGGCATCTATATCGAGTTTTTCTCGATATGCTTGTGTCACATCCCAACTGATCCCCTCTTAAGGGTCATCTGCGGTGCGATAGAGATAGACAATTCAGTCAGACCAAATTCTCACAAGCACTCGTTCTGACTTATAAAATCAAGAATCAATGAGTAAAGAATCAGCTTGACTAAATCGCCGCAAACATGCATTATTCATTTTATTTTGAAATTCATGCATATTCATATATTTTGAAGCATGAAAATCATTTCATTAAAACATATATACAAAATTGCTAAATCCAAAATAATAAATGCATATCCAAAAATCTATACATCATTCAAAAAGTACAGTGAAAAAGCTACACGTGTCACACAAGGCTTCTCGTTCAGGTGCTCTTTACCAATTTGGGATATCAATAAGATAGAGCGAGCTACAATAAATTCATTTAAATAATCAAAGCTGAAATAAAGTTTTATAGGCGGAGAAGAAACAATGTGCATGGTCATGTAAATATCCGCAACCTATGTCACAACATGCTATAATCCTATAAAATATGTAAAAGAAAATACATGTAGTGCATAAAATCATGACTGCTGTATAAAATATGTATTTCATCTATTTGTGTTTAATCATTAGTATATAATATTCATAGGAGTCATCAGTCTAATCATAAGAATGTCACTTGTAATTGTATAGATCTCAATTATTTTTATGACATATCATGTCATGGGTCGTCACCTAGCTCGAATGCTACATTAATTATTAGCAAATGATATGCCCTTTTCAACATAACAATTATCAATAAGCCTCTTAACACCAATAGTTCCCTACATTACGTCCTCATCTGATTCCAACTATTTTTGGAGTTTTGTCTCCATCTGAATGTCAGGAGTCATGAATCCCATCATTTCATATCATTCGTACTTGCAAGTATTCATGTAATAACCTACTTAGTACATTGCTTGTGACATTTCTTAAATAATTATTCTTGTAACAATCATTCATCTTATGTTTTAAATGTATCATATGCATGAATCATAGTAAACAAATGCCTCCAAGCAATAACTTCATAAACATATTTTTCAAATTCATAACATAATAAAATAATATGTATCACACGGGACAAATCAAGTTTGCGTTCATATTGTCAATGTAGGTATTTATCCATAATATGTAGAAAATTCTAAATACAATTGTGTCAAACATAATCACATAGAAACCTGCAAAAAGTTATTTTTCTTAAATTGACATTGAATTATTTTACGTAAATCAACGCAACAGTCCTACGACACGTTTTCCGAAGCTCACCTCGAGCTCTCCGCCTAGTGCAAACAACATGGAATTCATAATCCCTTAAAAATTCTTGAAATTTGTAATTAAAATCTTAATTTTACCCCAAATATGATTTCTTGCTTTAACTCACTCGAAAGGGCTTCTCGAAAGGGCTTCTTGACATAAATATGCCTCCCCAATACTTATCTATTATGTTCCCTCTGTACCTTTCTACTTAACTTTTCCCCAACTCTTGAAAAGGACTTATCGCAGAGCATGCCCTCTCGTTTTGACAGACCCGTGATTGTTTCTGTGAGGCTACATCAATAGGAATCATATGAAATGCTTGAATTTGTAGCAAATGTCAAAACAAAACCGTAAGGAAGGAAATGAATGTCACCATAATTTTCCTGTTCTAGCCTAGATAAATGATCAGGTATTTGATTATCAATACCCTTTCTATCCAACACTTGAAAATCGAACTCCTGCATCAGAATGACCCATCTAATTAATCGTGGTTTTGCATCATTCTTCAGCATCAAATTTTTAATAGCATAATGATCATTATGCACAATACATTTTGCCCCATAAGATAAGGTCTAAATTTATCAAAAGCATACACCATTGCAAATAACTTCATTTCAGTAGTGCTATAATTAATTTGAGCTTTATTAAGGGTTTTACTGACATAGTATATAACTTTAAAAATCTTATTGTATTTTTGCCCTATTACAACCCTAATAGCGTAATCACTTGCATCACACATTAATTCAAATGTTTTTTCTCAGTCAGGTGAAACAATAATAGGTGCAGTGATTAATTTTTCCTTTAAAAAATTGAGTGCATTTAGGAATTCCTCATTAAAATCAAAGTTCGTGTCTTTTTCTAAAAGATGATATAGAGGTTTGATAATTTTTGAAAAGTTTTTAATATAACGCCTTCAGAACCCAACATTTCTTAAAAAATTCCTAAATTCTCTCACTGACGTAGGTGGTGGTAATTCAACAATAACTAGAATTTTTGCTGGATCTAATTCTATGCTATTTTCAGAAATCTTATATTCTAACACAATTCCTCCTGCGCCAATAAATTGACATTTTTCCCAATTGAGCAGGTTTTAATTTGTCTTTGATTAATCTGATTTTCTTTGTGACTTTAACAACTAACTCAAGACAAAAAATTTGATGTTTAGCCACTTTAACCCAACTTAGTGGACTTTTGAATTTTCTGTCATGTAGTGCTTCATAAGGCGGAGCATTTTTTATACTGGATTGATAATTATTTTCGTAAGTAAACTCGATCATCGGGATGTGATCTTCCCAACTGCCTTTTTAGTCAAGCACACAGACCTTCAACACATCTTCTAATATATGAATTGTTCTTTCTAATTGTTTGTTGGTTTATGGATGAAATGATATGCTAAGATGCAAATGCGCATCCAAACCTCCTTGAATACCTTTCCGCAATTTGGAAGTGAATCTTCCATCTCTGTCTGTCAGAAATGATATCCTTTGGAACACAATGCAATCTAATATTTTTTTTTTACATACAATTTGACCAACTTTTTAATTGAATTTGTCTGTCTGATTGACAAAAAATTGGTCGACTTTGTTAACCTATTAATAATGACCTAAGTATTGTGCCTATGCTGCTTGGATTGGGAAAATCCCATAACAAAATCCAAAGAATTTTTTTTTTCTATTTTCATTAATGTATAAGCAATGATTATAGTAATCCCCTTGGGCTTTGATGCTTAGCTTTTACAATCTGGCAAGCTCGACATTCTGACACATTCCGCAACATCTTTCTTCTAACATGGCCACCAAACAATCAATTTCAAATCCTTGTCCTTTTTAGTGTTTTCTGGATGAATTGTGTAGCTTGAATGATAGGTTTCATATAGGATTTCATGTTTTAAATTAGAATCAATAGGTAACTTGCTTATGCTAATACTATTTTCCATCACAATCATATACGACATCTTTTCTGATTGATGCTTGCTTTTCGAGCTTTCTTAGTTATCAGAGTTGGTTGTACCATTAACTTTTGTAAATATCTCTTATCACCCGATCTTCCGGCTTCCAACAATAAGATATTAATTTTTCTAATCGATTCCGGTTACTCGGTAATAACCCAACTTGCATTATATATAGATTTTTGACTTAAAATGTTAGCAACTACATCTGTTATGCTATGAAAATATTATATATCCAAATTGTAGAGTTTGATGATCTCTAGCTATCTTTGTTGCCTCAAATTCAAATCTTTATGTGTGAAAATATATTTCAGGCTTTTATGATCAGTGAAAACTTCACACTTGCCACCATAGAAGTAGTGCCTTCAGATCTTTAGAGCAAATATCAGAGCAACTAATTCCAGATCATGCATCGGATAGATTATGTGTCTGATAGTTTCTTTCATATATCTTTAGTTGTCTTGATGCATAGGCTATTATTCATCCGTTTTGCATTAGAAAACATCGCGAACCACTAGATGCGCCATTGTAAATCTGGAATCATTTTGTTCTTGATGGAGTAACTAGTAGCAGTACAATAGTTAATTGTTTCTTTAGTTCTTGAAAATCGTGCTCACATTTTTTAGCCACTTAAATTTTACGTTTTTTTTTCATTAAACTGTACAACATCAAAGCTAATTGCGAAAATCTGTTAACGAATTTGCTATAATATCTGGGTAAATCACAAAATTTTGTACCATTGTAACATTTTGAGGCGTAAACCACTCTACGATTCCTTTCATTTTCTGTAGGTTCGTTGAAATTTCTTGATGATTGATGATATGCCCAAGAATGCAATGCCATGGTCCCTAAAACTATATTGGTTATGTCTGCCTCTTTGACTCTGTGACCACTTCTTCAGAATATTTTGCTTTTTGAAGTGTAATTTGAAAAACTTTGGCTTCACGGGTTGCTCATTTCGGGAGTTTTCACCCTTGACTTGACGTGAACTCTTTCCAAAAGATTGAGTACTGGACAAACTGCCTTCTCAAAATTTTATGGGCTGTCACCATCCTTGAATTATCAATGATGTATTGTCTCTTTTCTTTTCCTGTGTACAGTTCATCTCAAGATGCCCCGATTGTCTACATCTATAGAACTTTCCTGAACCCATCAAACACTATCCCAAATGCCTTTTTCCACATTTCTCATAGATTGGCCTTTTCAACTCATAATGCTTAAGCTTACTTTCCAATTTATTTTTTTTTGCTTTGGAAGTCTTCTCCAATGCTAACATCTTTTCGCTTGCTTGCTTGGGGCCACCCCCACTAGTTGGAGAAGTTTGGTTCGTTTTCAATTTTTCTAGCCTTTTCAAGTAACACTAGGAAATCACAGATTTCAGAAGGAGCCAAAGTTAATCTCAATGAATTTTGGAAACTGCACAAATATCTATGAAAATTTTCTCTCTGGATATTGACATAGTGGGGTTCATTTTTGGAAAGAGAAGTGAATTATGCCTCATATTGTATAACTTTCTTGGATCCAGAGTCAGATTGAAAAATTCATCTTACATTGCTAATCCGATTGAAATTGGAATGAACCAATCCTTAAAATCATGCTTCACCTTTAAGTTGTGGAACCCCACTATGTCAATATCATTTCACTGAATATGTGGAAGAGGTGTTAGCTGAAATTTCTCTCTAAGTTGTGTCTGCCACTACATTCGTGCTTCACCTTTTAGCATGAAAGTGGCTAGCAAAATTCTCTTTTTTTCGGACAATTTATGCCATCCAATCTTTCTAATCTTTAATAGACAATCTTCAACAAGTGTTGATTAAATATTTGAAAGATCTTCAAATGTTGGTCAACTCTAGTACTATCTTCAGATCTGAGACCTGTGCTGGTAGGAGATCTTTCAATAACAGACATTTTGTCTATCACTTGCAATATCAACTGAACAATCCCCTATAACTTGGTGTCTTTTCTAGCTCATACTTCTTGTTTTGCAATTAGCCTAGGAGATTGACCCTTAGTACTTTCTAATTCTTCTTCAATTATTGACAAATTTTATTATTCAAATGCAATTTATCATATAATAATTATGTTGTGCATATATGATACCTTAAGCTCTATGAGTTACTTATCCTAGATCCATCAACCTATATCTCTGTATAAATCAATTCATAGCGATCTCTTTTTTACTTCTAAATCCAACATGCTTCTATCATTTTTTTTCATTTAATAACATGCTCTAATACCACTTTTTGTCACACCCCAACTGATCCCCTAAGAGTCAGTTGCGGTGCGAAAGAGGCGGATGATTCGATCAGACCAAATTCTCACAAGCTCCCATCAATAAAGACCCAATGGATGAAAAATTAGTCTAACTAAATCGTTGCAAATGTACATGATTTATTTCATTTCATAATTCATTCAAAGAGAGATGAGCCCGAGACATTGAGATGTGTGTGAATTCGGAAGCAGAGAGGTTCATTCGCGAGTTTTCTAATTGAGATGGGTACAAATGTTTTAACATCCGTGGGAGAGACCAGTTAAAAGTCTTTTTATTTTTTAATTGTCTACATCCTGCCGCCTGCCGCTTTTTGTAGCAAACGTTATTGGGTTTATTTTTACATTGAATGTTTTTCTTCAAACCAAACAAGAAAATGCAAAGTCCAAAATTTATTTTACACTGAATCAAACAACTCAAAATATTTCATATACAATGTCTTTTGCATTGCATTCCTTTTACACAACATTCATTTTTCAACAAACCAAACAATCGTGTCTCATTTTCATTTCCCTCTCTCCTAGTTAATCTGCAATTTCATCTTCAATTTATTCATATTTGTAAATCAATCATCACAAGATTATTTTTGCAAGAGCCACTTTGATAAATACATGTTATTTAAATCTTTCCTTGATCACACCTCCCAAATTTTTGTACAACAATTTTAATATTGTTATTTATTTCACGCTCAATTTAGTTCAACAAATTTTTATTATGCCAAACTTAAATCCATATGACATTGTCAGCCCGATTAGTGTTATAATATTTTATCTTCAAGCCTCCGTGATATCTTTAATATATTAATTTTCTAAAATGACATGAAATTTGATAGAAACATATTGCAGCCTTGAAATCGAGAAGTAGATGTGGATGATGAACATATTTCATTCTACATTATTATATAGGTTTATTTTTTGAACTTTGCCACCCTAATGACCCGACTTAGGAACATTGATTGTTTTTAATAAGCAAAGAATTATGCTTTACTTTCTTCTTGTGGCATCACATCGAGATAACATATTCACACATCTTGATCTGAACGTATTTACTATTAAAGAGCACATAAGCATGTCCAAGGACAGTATTTCTATTAAGCATTCATATTTTGTATACCTCACCATGACGCAAGTCACACTGGTATGATAAAACTGCTGCCTTGGGCCCTTAACCTTTTGTATCTATGGACTAATTGCATTTATCAAAACATACCCCATGCATACATGCATCCATCCATTTTATGGAAGGAATAAAATATTTTTCTTCCCTGCCCACCATCCTGCTTACAAACCATTTCTCCATTATTTTGGAAATAAGCTGTTTTGTTTTCTCTTGAACAATTCTCATTAGGAAATCCGTTTTGTTTGATTAAACCTGAAGCTAGAACCCAAATTCTATGCAGAAAATTAGTTGATCCTTAAGTATTTTTCTTTTTCACAAACGTCAAATCCCTTTATTGCTTCAGAATGTCTTGGTGGAGATCATTGATGGTAGATCTAATTGGATTTCTTATTACCATTTCATGTTTCTCTTAAACAGACCAGACCTATTATTTACTACTAGCACTGAAGCTAAAAAAGAACATTTTTTGGACACTATGCGTCCTCGAATGTCCACACCCTCTTTATTTAACTTATTTTTTCAATGTTTTGAAGAAATTTTTTTTTTGCAGGTTGCTCAGGAATTTGTGGACTTTTTATCAGGAAAAAGACCTGATGGAACTAAGCTAATAGTTTCTTCTCATAACTATCAGAGCACACCATCAATTGAGGATCTCAGTATCCTTGTAGCAAGGATTCAAGCTGTTGGAGCAGATATTGTGAAAATTGCAACAACTGCTGTGGACATTACTGATGTTGCACGCATGTTTAAAGTGATGGTGCATTGCCAAGTGAGTAAGAAGATATTATGGGCATCATATAGATTTGTGTCTTGAAAATTATTGTGATTGCTGGAGTTTTCTTACTGCTTTTATCAAAGAAAATGTTTTATCTAGCGTCAGGCGTCAGCAAGTGCCTTTTATGGAGTATAAATAAATTTTATTTGAAAAAGGAAAAGTCCCTTGATTGATAGCTATTGATGAACTCATTTGGATCCATTTCAGGTAAGTTGATCTTCACCTTATAATCACTCTCTTCTTTGGTACATAATGAAAAATCTCCTAGGCATTGATTTTTCATCATTTGGGACCTCTCGGCAGAAGGAATTAACTTTAACCTCTCCATCCAGCGGTTCACCATTATGGCTATGGGTCATTTTCTCGTGTTATCTTCTTTCAAATGTAACAAGTCTTTAATGTAATTGGAGAATTTCCTGATGTAAGCCCTCCATGGTGTGGATTTATACTCTTCAGCATTGTGATTTCTCTATTTAGAGTTTGACCAACAAAAATGGGCAGATTCAGGGTTTTGAAGGGATTTTGGTGGAGAAAGGGGGTAGATTTTGGATATTTAGAGTTTAGGATATATAATTTTGATCTACAAAGAGATCTAGGGATAGGATTAGGAATCTAGATTTGATTTTGGCTCTGATACCTAATAACACCGATCTAGGATTCCTAGATTGTGTTTTACGAATCAAGAAATGAGGTGAGGATGTTTATAGTATGACAAGGGGAAAATTGAAAAATGAAATAAGGTTTGGCGATAAATTTAGATGTGACGATTGCTCTATTTGTAAAAAACAGCTAGAGAGCGGCTGACGATGATGCTGCAGGTTGCAGACGTCATGGAGGATCAACCTCCTATTCTTGAACAATCTACAGACACATCACTTGTAATGGAAAAATGTTACTTCACTTATTCGAGCAAAAATTTAAGGAAAAAAATAATATTCAAATGCTTAAATCAAAACCAAAATTTTTTCAACTGTTCTGAAACAAGATATTAATGCTAAACCAACATAAAATCATTCTAATTCTAATTCAAATGAAGTAAATAGAAACACCAAGGGGTCGGCTTACCCCTATATGCGGGAAAAACCCGAATCAGGACTTCGTCTGCTACAGGATTCACGGTCCCGATTTCAGGACTCCATTTGAGGCAGGAGTTACACTCCGGATTCCCCGCTTTAAGCAGAGGTCACCCCGCATCTCATGACCTCATTCTAGAGGACTATTTCTAGTATTAGGCGGTCTTCAGTTCTTACACGCATATCTAGTATATATACAAGTAATGCATGAACACGAATAAGATAGATCATACTTGCTTTTGCACAATGAAACATGCCAATTATGTTTGCTTGTATACATTTGCAGTTTTATGCATGTTAGTCTATTGTACCATTCTCTCTACGTTCAGTGCGGGTAAATTTCGTTTGATGCAGTTAACTTGGCCGTTATTGATGGAAAATTGATTAGGAATTCCTGGTACTTTTTTTGAATCAGTCAACTTTTGCTCGCCAGAAATTTCTATATTAATTATAGAATAGGGCTGGGGCTGGGGCTGGGGCTGGGGCTGCATCATTGGGAGCAGCTACAACTACATGGCCTCCTCATTACTGCGATTAATAACTTATGATGAATTATGATGCTTTTAATAAATTGTGGAACTATCGAGTAAAAATGTTCTAAAATTCTATTGAGAAACATGTCATTGGACATTACAAATGTCACCCTTGCCACAAAAGGAACAAGTTCTCATGATGACTATATTGTAACGATTTAATTAAAAAATTCCATTTGATGAGTATGTAAAATGTTTTACATTTTTTATAACATTATCCTTAGCAGGTTATGAGCATGAAAAAACTTATTTTATGGAATGTTGCTTTGATGATATGTGGCAAGAGTTTGCAGTACCCGTTTTTGCAATACTTATTCTGCTCTTGCTCCAAATTCTTTCTCCTTCAATCAATGAATATCTGCAGTCATAGATATCCATGTACTTTGTTGGATAAGTTTGTCCTTCTGTTTCTATTGTGGTCGCTCTCTAAAGTATTTTGTGCCTTTCTTTCTTATCATGCAATGCCAATCATGTTGGTTATGATGCCTGCTTTGCATAATTGTTCCAGATGGATTTAATTGTATGCGAAATTTCTCACATATGTCTAAGATCTCGACTTCTATTTTTTATTTTTTATTTTTAACCTCTTTTATTTTGAAAGGTTGTTGTTCTCGATATTTTGAAATACTATTCCTTTAGCTTAGAACTTATATTTACATTTCTGAATTTGAATTATAGGTTATGATGCATTTTTAAGTAGTTTCTGTCTGACTAAAGGGTAGGGACAGCAGGTGCCTATGATTGGATTGGTAATGGGAGATAGAGGATTAATGTCCCGTATACTTTGTCCCAAATTTGGTGGATATCTTACTTTCGCTGCACTTAGCACGGGAAAAGAATCAGCCCCTGGGCAGCCATCTCTCTCAGACTTGTTGGATATTTACAATATTAAACAGATAAAAGCAGATACAAAGGTATATGGAGTTGTTGGAAAGCCTGTAGCCCATAGTAAAGGCCCCATTATACATGGCACTGCGTTTAGATCGGTTGGCTATAATGCAGTATATTTACCACTCTTAGTGGACGACTTTGAGAGCTTTCTCAGTACCTACTCGTCTCCAGACTTCGCTGGATTTAGGTAAGACCTTTCTTTTCACTTAGGAATTGCTTATCATTATATTTTCTCTTATACTTGTTATTTCAAAAACATTTATTTCTTTTTTATGATGTGAAGAATATATAAATAATCTGAAGCATGAAACAAATATTAGTGTTTCTAGGTAATAACTTAGGCAGCTCGAGTTGATTATGTTCGCCATCTTATTGATTCACTGATCTCGTTGCAATTAGAGTGATTTAAATACAAATAAATAAAAATACAAATAAATAAATAAATAAATAATTACTTGAAAATTTCACATGAAAAAAAAAATAAAAAATAAATACATTCTTCATTCTTTGTTGGATGAGCGGTAGACACCTAGTTTGTACTATATTAGTCTTCTCATAACTGTTCGGTTGACTTTTTTTTCTTCCTATTTTTTTATCTTCTTTGCTTGCAATCTGCTTGTTTGAGGTTTCACGCATGGACACAAACACTATTAATAATTTTTTTGTAAGTATAGATAAGATTTTTTTTCCTACGAGGAAAATGACCATTCACCTCAATTTGTTTTTTATGCTGTGTTATACGGCATCGTACAAAGATTTACACTGTTGATTATTTTCATTCTTATAATATAAAATTACTCTTTTGCCGTGCATTGGTCCACTACTAATTTATTTTAACGATCTATTTTGTTGAACCTGGGTTTAACTGCTCTACTAATATACTTCCACTTAGTGCCAAATGATAGTTCATTGATTTCTGAAATTAACACAGTACTAAATAAAAATTTCAATTCTGTTTAATGAACATGTCCAATTATTATTAATTAATAGCTTACATTCCAATGCACTGTTTTTTTCCCACATTTTTTTAGGGCTTGTTTGGGATCTTTTTTATTTTTTGTTTGTGGTTTTTGCTGTTACTTTTGTTTTAACAATAATTTTTATTTTATTTTTTGCATATTTTTATTTTTTAATTTTAAAAGATAAATTATCTTGTTTTTAAAAATACTGGGAGCATTTAAAAGTTTTTTTTAGTTAAAAATAATTAAAAAAATGTTATAACATACCAAATATATTTTATTTGAAGTGAAAGTATAAACAAAACAAACGAAATAAAGATAATAAATAAAAATTAAAAATTAAAAGTGACCCCTAACAGTCCCTTAGGAAATCATGATAAATTTACTGAAATTTGATGATCATGCAATGAAGGAGAAACAGTTGATAAGCAAGCATCTCTTCAAATTTTTTATTCTATGCAAAAAGATGTACCATGGGAAATAAAAAAAATAATGCTTTCCAATCTACATGCACTTTAGCACGTTGGCACTCGCATTTTCTTTGGAGATTTTTTCTTCACCCATTGTCTGGCTGTTGGTTGTGCAAAAGGTTTCTCGATTATACCAATTGGGCTGCTAATTGGAAAGTCATGTTTCAGGATATTTGATAGTTATCCATGCTATCATAGCTAAGATTCCGTACAATGGAGCTTTTGAGATATTTGTTGTTCAATCAGTTCTGACTACCTTCATGTCATAAACCAATGCTGAAAAGATCGGTTTGACTTTTAAAAGATAATGATAGTGATATTTTTGATATTATTTTAAAGATTTAAGGGGTCTACGTGTAAATATTAAAGTTGTGGTGTTAGATATGTAGACACATAAGAATTGTGTGGTATGCATGTAAATGCCTCTAATGCGGGAGCTCCTGTGCAGGATTCCACAACTAAGGTTTCACGGGATCTCATGGTTTCGTGGGATTTTGTGATTCCGCAAATAGGACTAGCGGGGGATACAGGAAAATCCTGTCCTGTATGGCTGTAGCAGGGTTTTTCACTGCCGTCAGGGCTTATTGGCCCCATTTTTATTTATTTTTGAATTTGAATTAGAGTTGTTTTGAGAGGTAACTATTTATATCTTTTTATTTGCCTGTTTATCAGACTTTTGCTTAGTTTATGTTATTTGGAGATTCTCCCTTTTTTCTCTATTGGAGGGTTATATCTTGGATTTCTATTAGGTGGTGAGCCCGTAATTTGATTGGATCGTGGTGTTGATCACTCCCGGACGGTCGAAGCCTCTTGCGTTGCCAACTGTTATTTGACAGCATAATCCTGTTGTTTCTCTACTGCCGCTATCCAGCCACCATACACGCTGAATTTCAACAAAAATCATTCCCCCACCCTCGTTACCTATCCTAGAACCTACCTGCCCCTTTTCTGTGTTCTCCCACTTCTCGGAGCCCTTGAATGGTGTCAGTTCCCTTTGTTTTTTTGCATATACTATTAGCTTCAATAATCAAGCACCTGTTCTTTGGCGTTTGTGCACATACATGCACCCTCACCCAGAGACATATATTAATTTCACTTGTCCTAGTCATCTTTTATGCTCTATTCTCAAGATATAATTCCACTGTATAGAGTAATGTTATGTCCATATCCCTTGCCACCATTCATACTTCATAGGGTTTTGAGAAACTGAGTATCGTCTTACTGGGTGGCTATGCCTCGCAGCTGAACTACAATCTGACAATTTATGTAATTAAATTACAGAGTTATGTTTTCATTCTTGTTTTTAATTTTATTTTATTCTTGTGATTCATAGATTTAATATGCGCCGAAGGATAAAATAAAAATATTGTTTTCCTATGATTTGAGAAAAAAAAAAAAAATTTTATTTTCCTTTTCTTTTAGCATTCTTGAGTTCATAACATTTATCTTCCAGGTAACTAACCACAAATTTTGGTTTCATAAGGGAGCAATGATGTTCTTTCCATGTCACTTGGAATTAGTTCTTAAAAAGCTAACTTTTTTTAATGTTTCCTAGAGGGGTTCGTTATTTTAAATTTGCTGGATTTTTAACATTTCTTCTCTTACCTGACTTTCAGTGTTACAATGCCTCATAAGGAGGCAGCCCTTGCATGTTCTGATGAAGTTGATCCAATCGTTAAGGTAAGACTTGGAAAACTATTGAAAAGCTTTTTGTATGCCTCTGTATCTCATGTTTTTTTTTTTGTTCTTGATTTTTATTCTTCAGTATATTGGGGCTGTAAATACATTGATAAAACGTCCATCAGATGGAAAGCTAATCGGCTACAACACAGACTACACTGGTTCAATTTCTGCCATTGAAACCACATTACAAGGTGTTTAGCATATTTTGCTACTTTGAAACTAGTTCGACACATAGGTGGAAAATCATTTTGAAAATATGATTTGTTTAACATTAGTTGAGATCTTATTATGACCTTTTAACAAGTTTTTTCAGGGAAGGTTCCAGGTGCTTCTCTAGCTGATAGAATATTTGTAGTCATAGGAGCTGGTGGTGCTGGAAAGGCACTTGCTTATGGTGCGAGAGAAAAAGGCGCACGAGTTGTTATAGCGAACCGTACATATGGTAACATTTTGTTTTCCCTTCCTGCATAACACAGTTTTTGCATTCTCATTAATGTGTAAGGAAATACTTCGAACCGTATTTCTAACAAAATGGGTATTTTTCTTATTCATTTGGTACTTTGTTGTGGCTTGTGAAGTGGTAACTGGTTCAATAAAAAGACTAAATATTAATAGAGCTTCAAAGCTATTTTAATTCTCCTGATCTAACTTTCTACATTTTTTGAATATAAATGTTGACTTCAATTTTAGTTCCACGATTTAATACGAGTGAATGTAACGTCAAAAATAAAAATTGAGTGTGACATCACAGAAGTAAGACCGACCATTGTATCAACTAGTGTCAAAATCGTTCAAATGACCATTGTATCAACTAGTGTCGCAATCGTTCAAATGACATTACTTCGTAAAACAATCTTTGTTGATGCATTCAAAATGTTAAAATTGCCCAAGATAAACTCATTTTGTTGGAGTTCGCACATAAACAACGATACACAAATTGAGCCTAAATCATTTTGATAGCTGTCGAGATTGATCAAATGACGTTCATTCATAAAATTTCGGTGCATCCGGAGCATCAAATTTGTCTAGAGATCATACTCTTGTCATTTGGGTTCCGCATGAATGCAAAACATAAAATTAAGTTACATGAGACCGACATATAAAATTTGAGGTGTGTGATGAAAAATTAGAAAGGCAAAAAAAAAAAAAAAAATTAATTAGATTAAAATCAATTAGCTTAAATTAGATTATTTTAAAGTTAAATTACATTGAATTAAAAGTTATTCAATGTAATCAGTGCTATGATTTAAATTAAAATAAATTAAATTCATATATATATTAATATAAATTCATTTTAAAATAAATTCTAGTTAAAAAAAATCTTGTAATTGTGGCATGACCCTATATCTACTCCCGCTTGCCTCATCTCACATATAACTTTACCCATCCCAAACTTCTCCCATATTATTTTTCCCTCTCATATTTTCCCATATCACGGAAGGCCCCAATTCTCTTCATTCTCTTATTTTGCTTACGGAACCTGCAACTAAAATGGTGCTACTCCTTTCTTCATTATCTCATGTGACCTCAGGCCAAGGCTCGCCCATTTACTTAATGCCTTATGCTGCACGTGGACAACCCCAAGCCTTCACTCTCGTTTTCCAAGCACCATCTCCCAACCTCACCTCTTCTTGCTCTCTCTCCCATCCTCACGCAATGACCGGTGCTGCGACACTGTAAATTCTATCCACTAACAAGCTTCTCGCGCTCTATGTCCCGCTTAAAACGCCCTTAACTCCCTCCTGTTTGTGAAATCCGCTAACCTCAGGCGCTTCACACAACACTTATCTAATGCACTACCTTCTCCCCACAACCTGAATTAGCCTTTACCCAAGCAACCCATGCTTGCTTCCTTATGCTATGACCCAACTAGCCTGTAATTCTATCTTTGCTCTTTACATCGCACTCCATTGCCGTACTGTCTACGTCTATCCTAGTTAGGGTTGCAAACGAATTAAGCCAAGTCGAGCAAGATTGTGTTCAAGCCTGAGCTTGTTTATAAAATTTGAGCTCAAACTCAAATCGAGCTTTTGGGGCTATGTTCAAGCTCGAACTTGTTTATAAAATTCGAGAATAAAATATTGATTGATAAAAAAATGAGAATACAAAAAAATTAATTGAAAATGAATAAAAATTATTCTTAGAAAATGAAAATAAAAAATTACAAATTATGATTTTCAAAATGCAATACATGTGAAGTTAAAGGGTTTACGGAATCTAATCTCAAAGTAAAACTTGAATATAGTTTACTCTGAATCAGGAAGCTTGTCATTGAGCATAGATGAAATTTTTTTTGTGCCTTTAAAATTAATTGTAATCTAAATGCAAGCAAATTGATGTTGTTTTGAACAAACCATAAAAACTTAATACTTTTTATTGCCACTCAATCCACATTACTGATTTGCAAGCGGATATAATAACTTTGCTTGAAATACTAAAATGAAATTTTGCATACAATTCAAGTTCGTAATATTAATGACACGGACTTTTTGAATTTTGAATGATTTGTGAACTACAAATTCCAAGGCTTTTTTTGAACTCAAATGCAGGCTTTGAAATTTGTGCGAGTATTTTAAGACTTATATAAATAACTATTTGAATACTTTCAACTTGTGTATGCTTCCTTATTTTTAAAGAAATAAATCAATTTTGCATAATTTCAAGTTATATATGTGCTTCTTGAAGGAGCTTTCAATGTAAAGTTATGTTTTAAAGTTTTGCAAGAAGATTCAAAAAGAGCGCAAAATTTTGTAAATTGTCAAAATATATGAAATTTAAAGTATGCTTGGGCTCCGACGATTACATTAAATTTCTAAAGCTGATTATCTGAGAATGTTGCGCAATTTTCTTGAAATTATTCAAAATACACAATTTGAATTTTTTTTTTAATTATCCAAACATATATATTTCATACACTCAAACGAATAGAAGTGTTTGATGTTTAACGAATTGAGAATGCTATGTGGATTAAGATGCTTTTTTTACTTAAATTGATTTCTCTTTGAGAAAAGTGCAAAATCTCTTTTTGAAAAGTTTACAATTGTTTAATATTGTGAACTTTTTATTTTAAAATTAAACTCAAGATAATTGAATG